TCCCAGGCAGAACCTCGAGTTGGTGGGGTGGGGGGCTGAGCTCCCACCAGGCTCTGGCCTGTCCCATCTCTGTGACTCAGCACAAGCCCCCACGGCCTCTGCTTTTTTGTCAGCGAGAGGAGGGGACCGGCTTTCTGTTCAGGGTGCCATGAGGAGCAAATGGATGACATGACAGTGACCCATGCGTCTAGGACAGTGCGTGTGGCCTGGGACATCCGCCCTTACGAGAGTGTCACAAGCTCTTTGGAAGGCAGGGTGCCGGCCCTGCAGCGAGGGCAGGGGCCGGGGCGGAGGGAGATATTGGTTTGTGGACTGTCAGCCACATTCCTTGGCTCCACAGCCTCCAGTCTCTCCTGGTGTGACCGAATTTTGGGTGCTACTCAGCTTTCCTTTCCTAAGATTGTTAGGACACCAAATAAAACACACCCCGCCTGTGAACCAGAGAATCCGCCCTTCACACTTGCCGCTGGAGAAGGGAAATCCTGCAGATGCTGCTGCCATCTGGGGACAGGAAGATGTGGTGCCACGTCGGCCACGAGGAGGGTGGGGCCGGGCGATCTGGCAGGGATTCCAAGGGGGGATGGAGACAGATGACCAGACGGAGTGGTGGGCGTTAGGGAGATGGGGGGCTGAGGGTGGGGAGGCACAGAGGGACCTGGGGGCCACGTGCACTTGCTGACATGAGCTGCTGGGACAGGGCGTGGCGGAAGCCCTGGCCTGGGGAAAGGCCCAGGTGCCGTCTCTACAGCTGTCTGAGCTGACCTGTGACCATGTTGGACATTTTACGGAAACGGGAACTTCACGTGGTGCCACCAACACTGACTGCAGACGGACATCAAGCACACCTCACGTTCTGACCCTCGGACTCAAAGAGCAGCTTGTGGCAAGGTGGCTCTCATCTCCAGGGCCCCCTGGGACCTGGGGCGCCCCTAAGGAGAATGATGCTGGGGCCACCCCAGTGAAACTGGGTGTTGGAAAGCACACTGGGAAGCAGGCTGGGAAGCATCTCTGGCAGGGGCTGGCTTTCTGGGGTCCGGGTTCATGGGACCCCAGTTCCACATGTAAGGAGGAACCTGGGCCTCTGCTGAGGGTCCTCACCCCTCTGCACCCTTCCAGGGGCAGCACTTATCCTGGGGTCCTTGTTTGGGTGCACAGGTGCCCACCAGGGCAGTGGTGCAGCCCTGGAGATAACACAGATGAATCTCCGGCACAAAGCCCTTCCCTAGCTTGAGCAGTGTGTGTGTGTGTGTGTGTGTGTGTGTGTGTGTGTGTGTGTGTGTGTGTGTAACCCCAGGGAGTGAGCACACTGTCCTACACGGGCTGGGTTTCCAGCAGCCCCTTGGCGCAAGCAGACAGCCGGGCCCTCTCCTTTCCTGCCCTGCCCACCCCAGAACCAGCCGCACTGCTGCTTCCTAAACACTTCAGCTCCAGGACCCTCTCCCTGGCTCGCTGGCCACCCAGGCGGCACTGTCCCACCTCCACACCCCCTGGGCTCTGCTACTTGGGACCTCAGGACCTTGCCACGCACCTGCACCCCGTACTGGCTTGCAGGGTTTGGAGGAGCCAGGGCAGGGCTTGTCCTCAGTCCGCCGCGGGGAGAGTCCGGTTTGCGGGGGTTGGGATGGGATGGCGAGGAGCAGGGGGACCCCTAGGACCCTCGCCCCGTGTTCTTGGTACCGCTTCTGCGTCTCGCAGGACCCTGGACCTGGGCGTGCGCAGCATCCCCAGCTCCTCGGGAACTGAGGGGCCTGGTCATACTGGTGGGAGGGGAGACACATTTGGCAGGATTAACACGCCACGGGGAAGAGCGCAGGATGTCTGCATTCTTAACATCCCCCCAGACGGCCCAGGGATGGCACAGTGAGCTGCTCTGCTTACGGGTGGGGAAACTGAGGCTCAGAGATGCAAAGCGGGAGCCCAAGGTCACGCGGACCGTCCGGCTATGGGGGACGCGGGTGGCCGGGTGGAGACGCGCGTGGGCTGTGCGCGCCTAGCCAGGCGGCTCCGGGCTCCGCTGTCGCAGCGCGGTCGCCGGAGGATCGCGGCGGGGGCGCGGGCGGCACCAGTGCGCAGGCGCGGCGGGCAGGAGGGGACGCGCTCGGGGCGCGCGCGCGGGGCAGCAGGCGCCCCAAATCGGCCCGCCCGCCCCGGCGCCTCGCCGCCCGCCCGCCCCGGCGCCCCGGCCGGCGAGGGGCGCGCCCGCTGCATGGCGCTGAGATGGCGGGGGCGCCGCGCGGCCGAGGCGGCGGCGGAGGCGGAGGCGGAGGCAGCAGCGGAGGCGGTGGGGGCGAGCCCGGGGCCGCCGAGCGGGCGGCCGAGTCGGGCTGCCGGCGCGGGCTGCGGGCGTGCGACGAGGAGTTCGCGTGCCCCGAGCTGGAGGCGCTGTTCCGTGGCTACACGCTGCGGCTGGAGCAGGCGGCCACGCTGAAGGCGCTGGCAATGCTCAGCCTGCTGGCGGGCGCGCTGGCGCTGGCTGAGCTGCTGGGCGCGCCGGGGCCCGCGCCCGGCCTGGCCAAGGGCTCGCACCCCGTGCACTGCGTGCTGTTCTTGGCGCTGCTCGTGGTGACCAACGTCCGCTCGCTGCAGGTGCCGCAGCTGCAGCAGGTCGGCCAGCTGGCGCTGTTCTTCAGCCTCACCTTCGCGCTGCTCTGCTGCCCCTTCGCGCTCGGTGGCCCCTCCGGGTTCCATGCCGGGACGGCTTCAGGGCCGGCGGCCGCGGACCAGGGCGTCTGGCAGCTCCTCCTTGTCACCTTCGTGTCCTACGCCCTGCTGCCTGTGCGCAGCCTGCTGGCCATTGGCTTCGGGCTTGTGGTGGCCGCCTCGCATTTGCTGGTCACAGCCACCTTGGTCCCCGCCAAGCGCCCACGTCTCTGGAGAACAGTAAGTGCCGCCGCGCGTTCCCCCTAGAGTCTGGGACACACCTGCCAGGGAGGGACTGGGAAAGCTGGAAACCAGGCGCGCATCTACCTACTGGGCAGGTGGGGAACTGAAGCTCGGATCTTTTTTGGGGCGGAGGCGTTCAAGGTCACTCAGTGACTTGGAACACAGTGGGGTTGGCACCCTGGGGCTGGGCTCTTTTCTGAGTCACAGTCCACCAAGCACCTCTGGGTGTGGGACGTGGGGACGGGAGACGGACGTGGAGAGCGCAGGATTGCCCCAAGGTCAGGCAGCTGGTGAGCAGCCAGGCCGGGCGGGAGCCGGGTCCGCGGTTCTGGATGCACCGGTTACCGCAGGTGGGGTGGAAACTGGGCGCAGAGTGGGTCCGGGCGGACAGGGCTCCTCGCCCGCTTTGCGCACAGCCCGGGGCTCCTCTCCTGGGTGCGCCTGGGGAGAGCGCGCGCGCTCCAGGTTCTCAGAGACCCCTCCCGGCACTGAGGGTCCCCAGGGGGCGTGGGCGAGGAAGGGGAAAGGGACTTTGGCCCTTTGGTGGACCCCCTCGTGTCCAGAAGGACCGAGTTTGCCAAGGTCGCACATAGCTCTGGTCTCCACGGCCCCCGGTCCGCTGGTCCGCGGTCCGTCGCGGCTCCGGCCTCGCTCGTAAAGCCGAACTTTGTCACTGTCGCCGTCTGGGCTGGGTGGGCGAGCTGGTGGCGAGAACGCGCGGTCTCTTCCCGCGGGCTCCTCCTTTGCCGTATGCAGCTTTCGGAGCTTCTCCAGCCTTTCCGCGGGGTGCAGCCCCCCTTCTGTGTCTGCCTCGGGTTGCGTTTTACCCAGAGGGTGGTGGGAACACGAGGGGTGGGGGAGAGAAGGTGTCAGGTGGAGGAGGAGGTGGGGAAAGAGGGTGAGGAGGAGAAGCTGGACGTATAAGACACCTGGTGGGGGTTGGGAATCAGGCAGCTGGGGCTGGGGCCAAGAGAGGAAGGCCCCCACCCCGGGCGGTGGTGCCCTGGTCACTCCCTGGATGCACGTGGTCGGAGGAGCCCAGTGGAGAGACAATTCTGGATCTGGATTTCGGGGCGGAGAGGGGAGGGGCTGGGAGGACCTGGAGTGGGCCTGGGGGAGAGGAAGGGAAGTAGGGACAAAACAGAGAAGGGAAAATGGGCAGGGCTGCTAGCCCAGAGGAATGGGGGAGGGGGTTGGGTAGGTTCGGAAGCCGGTTCACAGGCCCCGCCCCCTAGCCGCCTGTGGGTAGCACCTGGCCTTGCTTGACCTTCTGGGAAGAGTCACTCCTGCAGCTTTCCCTCCACCACTCTCCTGTCCATTGTGTTTGGCCCCCACAGCTAGCTTCCTGCCCTCGTGTGGTCCCCTCAACCTCCGACAACCTCCCTAAGAGGACTGGATGGGAGGCACAGAGGCCAGGTCGCTGGGGGTGCGGAGGGCCCGCCTGGAGTTCCATGGGCCCTGAGTGTGGCCGCAGGGGTGGCGGGTACTATGAAGGGCTCATGGTTGGTTACCGCGTTTCCAGTGAAAAATGTCTGTGCAGCCTCCAGAGCCTCTTTTATAAAGATTTTATTTATTTATCTTTAGAGGGGAAGGGAAGGAAAGAGGGAGAGAAACATCAGTGTATGGTTGCCTCTGTATAGACGGAATGTACGTATGCATCCCCTGCTGGGAACTGGCCTGCAACCCAGGCATGTGCCCTGATGGAATCCAACTGCGATCTTTTGGTTCGAGGGCCTGCACGAAATCCACTGAGCTACACCAGCCAGGGCTAGAGCCTCTTTTAGAGAATCGAAGGTTAAAGGGAAGAGGAGACGGTCTTCCTCCCAGAGGTGGGGCACCCCCGAGTTCTAGGGAAGGCCTGTCCTGCTCTTGGGAACCAGCCACCTGGACCCGCTGCCCCTCCCCCACCCTCCCGGGCAGTGCAGGCCTTTCCCTGGCCGAGCTTCAGCAAAATTGCCTCCAGTAAAGAGCACCATAGCTGCCTGCTTGTGGCGAAGGCAAGGGTCTCACATGGAAAAGCTTGTATGGGAGTCTCCTGCCACTTTTTTAGAACACGTCTGGATTCGCACTGGACGCAGGTGGTGGCAACAGTGGTGACCGATGGAAGGTGGGCTCGGAGAAACCAGTGGCGAGGGAACTGGGCGACTTTCCTGAGGCCAGTGAAGACGGTGGCTCCCATGTGGCACCCCTGCCCCTGCCCCCTCCCCACTGCCCGCAGTGCTCGCCTGCTGAGAGCACCCTCCCCGAGCACCCAGCCTCGCCCACACCTGCTGGCAGGTGGCCTCTCCCTGTGTTGTCTCCCTCATCCCTGCGGGCGCCCCCCCCTTGGGGCTGTGTGAGTGGAGGTTGCTGGGGAGCAGGTGAGCAGCAGTCTCCTGGGGGCGGGGTGATGAGGTGCAGGGAAGCCCCTGAGTGTGCGAATACAGGCACTAATTGGGGGAGACGCCCCCCTTGCCCACTGGACACTGATCCTTGGGCAGGTCATGGGGCTCCCTCTCCAGGCGAGCGGCTTAGACAGTGTTCGCTGGGTGGCAGGTGCTCAGGGCCCACCCGGCTGGAGTGGAGGGAAGGTGGGATGCAGGTGGGTGTGCGGCATGACAAGGTTGGGCTCCCAGCTGACCCGCCCCAACTCAACCAGCGATTTCCCCCTTGACCACACTGTCCTGCTTCCCCCAACCCTTGTGCCCCCTCCCTGGTCTGTCCCTCAGCCACTCTGTCCCACTCCGACCTCAGTGGAGTCCATTGTGTTTGGCCCCCACAGCTAGCTTCCTGCCCCCGTGTGGTCCCCTCAACCCCTGACAACCTCCCTAAGAGGACTGGATGGGAGCCACAGAGGCCAGGTCGCTGGGGGTGCGGAGGGCCCTCCCCCATTCCTGCCCCTCTGGCCAGCCGAAGTCCTGCTTTCTGGAAAGGCCACGGCTGCCCGGCCCAGGATGGACTGGGCTCCTCCACCTGATGGTGCCCACCCGAGGTGATGACAGCTGAGAGTGCCAGGCCAGGGCCCTCGGGCACCAGGGTGCTGGGCAGGGAGCCATCTTGGGGGAGGGGTTGCTGCTGCCTGGCAGGAGGACCGAGGTACCACGTGTCGTGCGTTCTGCGTGTTCAAGACGTTAAGTGGAGGCTGGGAGCCGAAATGGTCACATGTCCCCTGGGAAGATGTGCTATCTGAGTGGAATGTGTCCCACTGGGCACCGTAAGCCCGCTCAGCACAGTTCAAATATTGACTCTGCAAAATGCGCTTTATTGTCTCATCCGTGCTGGCCTTCCACCTGCCACCAGTGCCTCCGAAAACGACTGGCTTCAGCGTGTGTCCAAACACAGCAGATGGCTGGTCTCAGCACGAAGATCTCCCCTGGTCACGGGGACCCAGGCCTCCGGCACAGCCGCCAGCTTGGCTGGCAGTGCCAGGAACCAGCCTCACGGTGGCTCCCTGGCACCCAGCTCCAGATCTAAACCCGATGCCCATGCGGAGAGTCCAGCTGGGAGTCAGTGCTTGGGGTTAGAGGGACTGGAGGTGTCTGAAGCCACAGGGAAGGTGACCAGGGTCTGCTAGAGAGGACAGGGTCTTGCGGGGGTGTTCAGGGTCAAGGGGGCCACTGCTGTGTGTCCATTTGTGGGGGTAGCTGGCCCTCTGGCTGGCAGAGGGTGTTTGTGCGGCGGTCTCCAGGAGACTCCCTCTCATGTCTGTCTGAGGTGGGCAGGCCTGTGCTCCGCTCTGGCAGGGTCCAGACCCAGCTGGCTCTGTCTAGCTCGCTGATGACAACCCCCCACACCACAGGTTCGTGTTAACAGGAGGGGCTCCGGCACGTCTGCCGAGTGGGGCCCCTGCCCACCGGCCTTGCTTTCTCCCTTCCAGCTTGGCGCCAACGCCCTGCTCTTCGTGGGCGTGAACATGTATGGGGTGTGCGCCAGGGTCCTGGCCCAGCGCTCCCAGCGGAGGGCCTTCCTGCAGGCGCGGACCTGCATCGAGGACCGGCTGCGGCTGGAGGACGAGAACGAGAAGCAGGTGGGTGTGCCCAGCCTCCGGTCTGGGCCTCTGCGTTGAAGTGCGGCCTTTCGCAGTGTCAGGCGCCTGGGCCATTATCCTCACTGGTCTCACCTGGTGCTTCTGGCAGAGCGTTTCGAGGTCAGACTGTGAGCCAGGTCGCTCACTTCCCAGGAGGTCACTGGTGGGTCCTGGGCGTGGGCCAGTCAGCTTCCTGACCTGCCGCCTCTGCTGACAGAGGTGCAGCCTGGGCTCTGTCACAGGGCAGCTGTCTCTCTGGGCGGCTTTGCCACTTGTCGCTGGAGCTCAAGCCCACTCCTGCTGTGCTGGCCCCGCACCTTCAGCTGAACTTTGGGGGGTGGTGCTCGAGCTCTGATGGGGCTGGACCACCTCGCAGTGCACTCGGGTGCCAGCAGGCTCAGGCCGAGGCTCCCTGGTGAGGGATGAGGGTGCTTAGGTGCACGGAGCAGGTGTTCCGCAGGGCAGGTCTGCACCTGTGTGGCCACCATGGGCCAACAGGGCTTGTGTGGGGGGGACACTGAAGGATGTGCCCTGAAATTCAGACATCCAGTGTTGGGCCCCGAGTCTGTCCCAGCGGCTGGACTGTGTTGCTTGGGGACAGGATTTGGCGTCTGTGGCCGGGATCATCCTGCATATCCTGGGCCTGTTGAGGCTGAGTTTGGGGCAACCCCATGAGGAGGGGGTGTCTGCAGCAGTACTAGACCCCTCCTTGGTTTAGAAGGAAGAGCATTGCTGTTGAGGGAAGTCACGTGAGAAGGAGGTCTGAGCTCTTTGGCTGCAGAACCTGTGTTTGGATTGGCTTTGCAGCCTGGGCCCCACGGTCCGGATGGGCACGGCCTCCTTCAGTGTCTCGCCATGAAAATAGCCCAGATGGGCAGTGGAGAATGCCACCATCCACCTTCCAGGGCAGCCTCGGGACCGGGGGCAGGGCGAGGGTGGGCGGGGCTTGTCTGCCCACCAGACACTTCACCTCTGGAAGGCTCTCTGCTCCTCATCGAAAAAGCTGCCCATGTCCCTGTGTCCCTGTGGCTGAGCCCCATGACAGGACCTTGGTCCTCGATGCTGAAGGGACCCCTCCTCCCGAGTGTCCAGCTGCAGGACACAGTCCTGGCGGGACAGATAAGCTGTTCCTTCTGGCTGGGTTTTGGGCTCTGTCAGCTCATTCAGGTCTCTGCTTCGTCGCTGTGTCCCTGCTTCACGAAGGGACTTGGTTCTGCCTTGTGTCTGGGAATGGACCTTTCCTGACTTGGGCAGGGGTGGGGGGGTGGGGAACGAGGCAGAAGGAAGCCAGCGAGGAGGGGGCACAGTGGAGGCCGGAGCCCGGGGCCTACACCTCAGGTCGCCTCACTCTAAAAAGCGCCCCCAGGGCTCTGGGTAGAAGGACCCCCCAGGGAACCTGTCCACAGGCTGTGGAGGCCTGGGAGCCTCTGTCCATGTGGGAACGGACTGTCAGCCTCGGCTCTTTGAAGTGGGAAGAATCCTCGGAGCCCCGATCCAGAAGAAAGGGCGGCAGAAATAAGAGCCTCAGGGACGGGCCGCGTGGCCGCAGGTAAAGGCAGGTTAAAAATAGATAACAGGGAGACACTGGGAACGATCAGACGCTGACACGTGGACTGATTCCCAGAACGGGGTCAGTTACTGCAGGCGACTCGGGGAGAGAGGGAAGTCTGGAGTGTGCTGGGACTCAGCGGCAGCAAGTGTATGGAAACAGCGTCGTTTCAGGAACGGCCTAGAGACGGGACCACCCAGGAGGCAGACCTGTGGGACCGGTGTTGTCACAGTCCAAGTGGAGGTCCAGCTGGGCCACCCTTGGCTTAATTTCCTTTTCTTTCCTGCACTGGCCGGACCGTCCAGGGCTGCGCAGACGCTGCTCACCAGTGAGGTGTTAGCTGGGGCCTCTTGCCGGATGTCCCTCCCTCAGATGAAGAAGTCCCGTCTTTTCTTCATTTCCTGAGACTTTCTGTCGTGAGTGGGTTTTGCCGAGTTTTTTCCGGCAGCGACTGCCCTGTGAGCGGCACTGGTGTCCTGTCACATGTGGTGTGATGAAGACTGATGTTTCGGTGCTGAACCAGCGCAGCGCCCCCGAGGCAGGTTTTCAGGTCTTGCTGAAAGGCTGACAGTTGTGTTACAGGTTTTGTATCTCTATTCTTCAGGGACATCGGTCTGCAGGTTTCTCTTCCTGTCTTGGTGTGATTTTGGTGTCAGGTAATACTAACTTTACAAAATGAATTGGGATGTATTCCTTCATCTTTTATGGGAGACTTAATGTAGAATTAGTGTTAGTTAATTCTTTTTTAAGTGCTTGGTATATATGTCCAGTAGAGCCATTTGGCTCTGGAGAGTTCTTTCTTACGAGTTTTTATATTAAGCATTCAATTTCCTTAATAGTTATACAGCTACTCAAATATTTTACTCATAGTGCTTGTTTCACATTCAGGGAATTGTCATAATTTACGTTTTTAGAGACATCGGTGTATTTATTTCTTCCAAATTTATGCGTGAAGAGCCGTTACTGCTCCCTCTGGCCTGTGATGTCTTTGGGGCCAGTAGTGACGTGTCATTTCACCCCTGATCCCTTGCGTTTCTGGGGACTCATCCGCGTCCCCGCTGGGCCCACCCTTCTTGGGAGGATGGCCTCACTGATTCCATGTGGGGTCTGAACTCCTTTCTTTGGTTTTCTTCCCAAAGCCAGTGGAAGGGGGCTTGAGAACTGAGGGAGGAGCGGGCCTCAGGCCCTGTGCGGCTGGACCGCCAAGGCTAGCAGGGCGAGTCCGAGGCTGGAGGAGAAAGCTGTGGCCCAGGTGGGCGGCAGAGTCCGGGTGGTGCCCCTGCAGAGCAGCCCAGGCCTTGCTCCTGTCCCCTGGGGAAAGAACATCTGACCCCTGGGGCCAGGGAGAAATCAGAGGATGAGGCTGGGAGAAAAAATGCCACATTGCCTCCAAAGCTGCTTATCTCTGCAAGAACAGGACCCCTTTTTGTCCCAGAGATGGGGACTCTCAGTGGTCCTCTCAGTGTGGACAAGGTGGGGGTCGAGCACAGGGCTGGCAACCTGGGCCCCCTCCTGTGACTGGCTGCCTTGGAGAAGCTGGGACACATGGTGAGCGACTGGGCTGGGGCAGGCAGGGTGCTGTGAGTGGCTGGTGTTCTGGGGGCGCCTGCCCTGCACTCCGGGATTGAGTTCCCTGTGCAGCGACTGTCCAGGCCAGGGATTCTGGGGCCAAGAAGGGGCTGCAGGGCTGGGCCCCATGCAGGCCATGCGTGAGGAGGGCCGCAGGCCTGGGGGGGTGCCCTGAGGATAGGCAGAGTGGGCCCCGTGTGGCACACCATGCGTCTCTCCCATCCAGGAGCGGCTGCTCATGAGCCTTCTGCCCCGGAATGTTGCCATGGAGATGAAGGAGGACTTTCTGAAGCCCCCTGAGAGGATTTTCCACAAGATTTACATCCAGCGGCATGACAACGTGAGGTGGGGTGTGCTGGCTGGGGACCGTAGGCCTGGGAGCTGATGTGGTGTTGATGCAGGTCAGGGTGATGCAGGTGGGGGTGATGCAGGTGGGGGTGATGCAGGAGGTTGGGTAATGGTGGGGATGGTGGAGGAGGTGGGGAGTGGCTCAGGTGGTCAGAGGGCCCCAGTCTGAGGGCAGGAGGGGCAGGTGGGGTTCAGCAGCCCCAGGTGAGCACCTGCCTGGTGGGGAAACAGGTCCCACAGGGTGGAGTGGTGGCTTCCCCGATGATGCCTGCCACAGCTGCTTTCCCAGACTCAGCACCTCTCTTTCCCTTTGCTGGGGGAGGTGGAGTTCTGTCCCTGGGTTGGGTGTGGGCGTGGCTTTGGGCTGGCAGTGTCCAGCGTCAGGCTTGTCGCTGAGCCTGTTGCGGGCGGTGCCAGTCCCAGGGTAGGGGCTCTGTTCCTCTGTTCCTCCATCTGTTCATCCATGGTGGCACTGGGCAGGGCTTGTTGTCCCCGTGTTACAGGTGAGGAACGGCTCTTGAGTGAGCCAGCTCACCCCACACACCCTCCTGTTTGCTTGCTTGTTTTTAAAGTCTCTTAGAGTATTTTATTCTAATAAATGGTGCATTCCCTTTCAAGTACTTAGAACAGCTGAGTGTTGCTTATCGGAAGTAACACTGTACCCACCTGTCTCTCAGGCACGAGGGGGCAGCTCTCTGGGGTAGGTCTGGGGTCAGGCCGCCCTGCTCGCTGGGCCCCAGGACACAGACGGACGAGGAAACCTTGTCGTGTCTCTGTCCAGTGCTGCAGACCGGGTCCCTTGATCTGGTGCTTGCTCATTGAGGGCCCAGCTGTCTCTGTGTATGGCCCGCGTGGCTCACTGCCATGTGGCTGAGCTCAGGCCCACTGCCATGCCCCTCAGGGAGGACCAGAGCTGTCCTCCTAGAGAGGGGCCACTGAAGGCTGGGGGGGGGCCGGTGTGGGGCCAGCATCTGAGCCCGGGCAGGAGGAGCTTCCTGTGGACACTCAGCTCCATGTAATGCAATCACAACTTGCGGTCCCCGCCTGCATTGCCGCTCAGCTTTGTGGGTGAGGGGACTGAGGTCCCGCAACAGCCCCTGGCCGTGAGTGGTGCGGCTAAGGGACCAGGGTTGGCGGGGCTCTGTGTGGCTGCAGTGTCTCCTGCCTCTGGGACTACCAGGAGTCTGAGCCACCTTCCCGCCTCAGTATTCTCACCTGTAAAATGGGAAGAAGAGAACTTTGCTCTGCAGCCTGAGCCGAGGAATAAATGGGGAGAATTACTTTGAGGTGACCTGCCCAGGGTGACTGTAGGCAGGGGCAGGGTCGTCCCTTCTCTGAGGCGGGCATGCCAGGTGGATGGACAGCACACCTGTGTCTTGCAGCATCCTCTTCGCGGACATCGTGGGCTTCACGAGCTTGGCGTCGCAGTGCACGGCCCAGGAGCTGGTCAAGCTGCTCAATGAGCTCTTCGGCAAGTTTGATGAGCTGGCCACGGTAAGAGCAGCCCCTGCGCTGCTGGCCCTGGACCTGGGCCTGGCGTCACCCCTGTGCCAGTGCTCCGCTCGCTGACTCGCTGCTGGGGCTGGGCATGGGGTCTGCAGATGGGGGAGCGCCCACACTCGCCCCGCCAGGGAGGCGAGGCAATGGCCCACCTCGTCAGCACAGCCCCAGGCCTTGGACCGGACTGCCCTGCCCTCTGGGGGCATCTGCCCGAGTTTCCTTCACAGGAAAGCGGCCATCTTCATCCCTCAGTGTGATGTTAGGGCTCCGGCGTTTGGGATGCTTTTTACCACGTCGAGGACATTTCCTTCTATTCTCGGTTTGCAGAGTTTCTGCCGGAAATGGATGCTGGCTTTTGTCCAGCGCTTGATTGCGTCCACGGGACGCTCACGTGGATTTTCGTTGGCAGTCTGCTGATGCGGGGAACTGTGTGGACGTGTGATGGCTGTGGGAATGACCTTGGGTCCTGGGACAGCCCGACGCTGTTGTTCTGATGGGCTGTTGGCTTTATTTGCTCGGATTTTATTTAGAATTCCCTGTTCACGCTCCTGAAGGCTGTTCTCCTGCGGCTTCTTGCACCGTCGGCGCAGCTCAGGGTAGAGGGGGCTCCTGTTGTGGAGGGGCCTGGGGGACCCCTCCTGCGGAATTTTCTGGGGGAGTTTGCACAGTTTCTAACTGCAAACCCAGTGTCTTTAAATAGGGCCAGTCAGGTTACCTCTTTCCTTCTTCCTTAGATGAGCTTTGGTAGTTCCATTTTTTCTCGGTTGTCACAGCTGTAAGAATAAAGTTGCTCCCGTACTTCCCATCACCCTGAGACCCGCAGACGCCACGGCAACGCCATCGCTCCCGTTGCTGGTTTCAGGAGCTTGTGTCTTCATGGTCATTCTGGGCACAGGTCTGTCAGTTGTATTGATTTTCTTCAAGTGGTTTCCTTTGGTTTCATTGATTTCTCTACTCTATTTTAATGAATTCCTGTCTGGCTTGTTTTACTTTGCTTCTTTTGCTTATTTTGGTCTTGATTGCTCTTCTTGTTGTAGTTTCTGACACTAGAAACGAAGCTGTTGATTTGAGATCACTCCCCCCGCCGACATAGATAGGCAGCTGCGAACGTCCCCCGACACACTGTGGCGGCAGAACCCCCAAATCTCTGCGCTGTGCTTTTACTTTTATGGGGCTCAAAATACTTCTTCATTTCCCTTTCAATTTTCTTAGACCCATGGATTATTTAGAGGTGTATTTAGAGGTGGAGAGATTTTTTTCAAAGAACCTTTGTGTTTTTTACTTTAAATTTAAGTCCCCTGTGGTCAGAAAACACACTTTTTGGCTTGAATCCTCTTAAATTTATGCACCGAAGTTCAGTTTGGACCCTCCCCCTTGTCGGGGCGACAGTGAGGGGGCCACACGGCAGGGTGCCCCACCCCCTTGCTTACACTGTTCCTTTGCGTGGGGGTCGTGTCTTCCTCGCTGTGCCCTGTGTGCAGGCCTGGGAAAGCACACCCACAGCCTTCCCGGACGCCGCGGCGGTTAGACAAACATGTGCGTGTTTGCCTTGGTCTTCAGAGTGGCTGACGGTGTGTTTGTCCCTTATCCCCGGCCGGTGGCTGCAGACGTGCACAGATTTCTGACCTTTCCCCCACTTATTAGGCCTGTTTTAGATCTGTGTTTACGCATGTGTTTGGAAAGCTGTGTCCTTCTGCACCGATGGGGCAGCACCTGCCTGGGGCTGGGTCTCGCTCTACCACCCATGGCAGGTTGGGCCTGCCTGGATGTCAGCTTTCTTCACGGGAAAGTGAACGAGGTGGAAAAAGCAGATGTCTGTCTGGCCAGTTCTCAGAGGCTGTGGAGCAGCAGGGAGAGTTCTCCATATGCTGGCTGCAGGGATGAACCTGACCCCGGGTTGGCTTCAGTCTGAGGGCCACCTGGGCTGGCCCAGCCCTGCCGCTCAGTGTGACAGGCAACAGGAACCTCTCTGCAGCTCTGGGCATGACCCCGCCCTTCAGGGGCTGTTTCCGGTGGGAACCTGTCGCTCTGCTGTGTGTCCTCAGCCCCAGGGTGGCTGTTGGCACGCAGGGGTGCGTGGGACCCAGGACGGTGCAGGTGGCGCATGCATGGGGGCCCATTGCTCGCGTCCCTGGCCAGGTAGGAGGGTGGACGGCAGCAGAGGAGTCTACCAGCATGTCGCTGCCATAGCCCAATTTCAGGTGCACAACACACGGTTAGATGTCTGTACACCCTGGAAGTGACCCCCAAAGTCCAATGCCCACCTGACACCTTATGTGCTCGTCGAATTGTTGTTGATGGTCTCCGTGTCTCCACCATGAATCTGTGTTTCTGGGACTGGCCCCACCCCCAACCCACAGCAGAAAATGGACGGTTGACCGAAAAGCGGGCAGATGTTTGGAAGTCTGAGTGCCCGTCATTGGTATGGGGGTCACTTGTAGACACCCTACCCCGGCTGCCAGGAAATTGCTTCCTCAGCAGCTGGGCCCGAATCGGGTAATTCCAGCTCCCCTGCACCTGCCCACCCCCCAGGTGCCCCAGGTTCCAGAGCCGAGCCGCCTTCCCATAATTCGGTTCACCTGTTGGCTTCTAGACCCCCACCTGCCTCAGAAGGAACTGGGGCACCTTTGGGCTCTTCCTCCTGGGCCTGGGCAGGCAGACAGGTCAGGCCTGTGGGGAGCTCTCTGCCTGGAAAGGAGGGAGGGGCGGGGCACCTGGAGCCTGCAGACCACACTCGAGAGGCAGAGCACGAGGCCTTCCCGCCTGTCTCCACCCCCCCTCCCCCAGCTGACACTCCGGGTCACCTCTCACCCCTCCTGCCCCTCCCCAGCGCATCCCTCCCACAGCTTCCTCCCTCCTCTCTTTGCTTCGTTTGGGAACAGCTGTCCAGGCAACACGACACTGCCCTCAGGGACCCCCAGGCACCGAGTCCAGTACTTACAGGGAGGCTTTTGAACTAAAACATTGACCCCGTGAAAAGCACGTCGTTTGGTCTCTGAAGCCTGGTAGCAGATGCCAGGGCACTTGAGATTAATAAAACCAGAGGATGCATTTCACTTCCCCAGTCTGTTCTGGGCCATGTGGGGCTGGCCAGGGAGGGGTGCGGCTCTACTCTCAGGACAGCCTGATGCCCAGGAGTGGTGGCTCGGTGTCCGTCATTGGGGGGACTGTCCTGCTGGGGGGCTGCTGTCTCAGAGCGGCACCAAGAACGCGGAGGACCCTGGCATGTTGGGATCATCGCTGGCCTGCAGCTCTCCTCTGGGGTGGGGGGGGTCCCTGGGCTCCTGGAGGGGCAGGTCTGGGCAGGTCCCTCGGCTGCTCCCCAGGCCTGGTGAGGCCACCTACCTGTGATGATAGGGAGAAGGTGCCCGAGGGGCCGCCCCTCATGATGGACAGTGACGATGGAGACAGGTGGGGGAACATTCTAGATGTGCCAGGAAAGAGCCTGCTGCTGCCTGCTGGCCTGGAGCCTTGGGTGAGCATGGCCTGCAGGGGCCTGGTGCCGGCTCCACAGGGTGGGTGTCTGCCCCTCCCTCTGATTCCAGGCTCCCAGACACTGTCACAGGCCAGGCCGACCACAGCACGGCCTGTCCTGGGGCGGTGTGAGAGGGAAAGCCACTGTAGCACCTGGAGATTAAGTGGCCCCCTGTGGTCACAGGAGGCTGGGCGGCCAGGCCCCACCCTCCCTGTGGCCAGCTCGCCATGCTGGGGACTGCCTTCGGGGTTCAGGGGGAAGTAGAACCAGTGGTTGGCTTCCCAGGGCCCCACCTGATAGCAGAACATGTGCTTACCTCACTCCCTCTGTCTGCATGTCCCTGGTGTCCTCAAGCTGAGGGAGGTGCAGGGCTGAGGGGAGCTGGTGTTGGGTGGTGGTCTGGGCCATCCCTCGGGACAGCAGTGGGGGTTGTGTCCCTGGTTCCTTCTGCACCGTGCAACTGGCAGAGTGTCACAGGACCGAGGCGTGTGGGAGCCCGTGGGGCCCAGAGCCGAGTGCTTACCCCATGCCCGGTGGTGGTAGGGAACTCACAGATTCGAAGACACGCGTCAGCTGGTTTGTGTGCACACGGTGGGGCAGCATGAAGTGGGCGTCATGGTGCGTTCTCAGAACAGGGGTGGAGCTCCGACTCTGTGAGGTCATCTTGGGCACCGTCACAGGTGTGTGGAGCAGGGGCAGACGTGAGGGACAGTGGACAGATCGCAGAGAAAAGCGGCAAAGGCCACGCTGCTCACCAGTGGTTGTTTTGAGAAATGTCATTGTTTTTCATCAAAGGTGTTACTTTTGTTAACACCTAGCATGTTTGCTATTTTGTCTTGGGTACGCTTCGCACCGATATGCTTTAAAGACTCTCCCAGCTGTGTCTGCTCAGGTGGCAGGTCCCCACAGCTGTGATGCTGACAGGGGAGCTCCAAGCCATCAGGTGCTTGGACAGGGCGATGCAGAGCAGTTGGGCTAGTGATTTCCCGGGACAGAGCTCCGGCCACACGCCAGTGTCAGCTGAGCCTGCCCCGCAGCCTGGGACGAGTGTGAGAGGCTCTGATCTCTCTCTTGCCATCCCCAACCCAGCGGCCAGCAGGGTCCTGAGATTCTTACCGTTGCAAAAACATGACAGTGGGCTTCCTGTGGCATCCCTGGGTAGGTAGGGGTGAGGTCAGGGCTCTGGCCCATCAGGTGAATCCCTAGGGAGAGCTGCTCCCATGCCGGTGGACTTAGACGTGGGGCCGGAAGCTTCGGGGTGTGCAGATGCGTGTGGTCTGTCCTTCTCAGGGTGGGTGGGGGAATCTAGCGTGTTCTACAAGCATCATGGGGCGATCCTTGTTGCTGGTCCAGAGGGGCCTGTGCCAGCCCCTCTTGGGGGCGGAGCTGGCTCCCGGCTTGGGCGGGTCTGCCGCTTGGCCCAGCTTGCTCAGGGGCCGGTGGATGGATCCTTGCCTGGGGTAGGCAGAGGGTGGGTGTGGGAGAAGTGGAGTACTCCAGGACAACCCTGCTCACTGCCATGGGGGCTGCCCACCCTCCCAAGGCTGCCCTGCCTGTGGCACGTCCCCTTGGGAGGGGTGCTGGGGCCCTGGTGTTGAGCATGGGCTGTGGTCGTCGGGGGCGGGCCGGCCCCAGTGCATCCCTAACGTGCGGTCTGCCTGCAGGAGAACCACTGCCGGCGCATCAAGATCCTCGGGGACTGCTACTACTGCGTGTGCGGCCTGACCCAGCCCAAGAGCGACCACGCCCACTGCTGTGTGGAGATGGGCCTGGACATGATTGACACCATCACGTGAGTGCCCCCGGTGGCTGCGGCCTGGACACCCCACCTGCTCTGCCCTGGGAGACCCCTCGGGCATGAGCCGCCCCTCTGTCCCAGGGTCCCCTCTGCTGTGGCTGCAGAGAACCAGCCCACAGCAGAGGGGACCAGCAGAGGAGGTCCTGGCTGCCTTGTGGAGTGTGCATGACCAGCCTTTGAACTTTGTGGGGATTGTGTTTCTTTGTCCCTGGTTACCCTGGGGGTTGCCAAGGGTGGCTTAGCTCTGCAAGGAGAAGTCACCTTCATAGTGGAGCTGGTTGAGACGTGTGGGGTGGGCTGGGGAAAGCTGGCTCAGACCCCGAGGAGTTCCCATGCCCTTGGGTTCCTGGGGCAGGTGGCTGGGGCACAGGGCCTCTCTGTGTGGAGTGTTGCTGAAACGCCATAGGCCTGGCCTGCTCTGTCTCATTCCACCTTGTCTGGTCCTCTGATGGGGAGGAAGAGCCAGGACCTTCTGTCCAGTGAGGGGCGGCCTGGAGCTGGGGCCATTTCCAACTCCTGGCTTCTCCCATGGGGTCTGGACCTTTTGGGTGCCGCCTGTCCTTCCCTTCTGTTCCTTTTGCTGTTCTGACCCCTGTGGATCAGTAAATGATTTGGGGGGAGGCCTGACCCAGCTTCTGCTGGGAACCCTCTGGTGCTGTTCCCGCCTCCCTGGGTGGTCTCCCCAGGAGGGCCTCTTGGCCTTGCCTGTCGGGTCCCACAGCTGGGCTGGAGTCGGGGTTGATTGGCCCGTCACCGGCTGGGAGGGGGTCAGGGAACTTGGGTCTGTGGTCTGATCTTGGCGTCCACATGTTTGGGCAATTTGCTTCCGGCACCAGTGGACAGACTCACCACTGAAAGTTCCCCGTAGTTCCCGGGAGGCATATGAACCCTGGGGCTCCTCGCAGGCCATTCTGGAGCTTGGGGTCACACCGGTCTGTTTCTGGGGCTCCTGGGCCATGAGACTATCAGGTGTCACTGTGGCTGTTGCACTGGCCTCGGCCAGCAAGCTGGTGGGAGGGTCCCTGCCAGGTCACAGCACATAGGGCAGCACCCTCTCTCTCTGGGGCTGACCGGGTGGGCCGGGCATGATGCAATGTGACCTAGCCAGTGGCCGGGAGCCGGGGGACCTACCTGGGGTCACAGCTGGGGGCTGGGCTGACCAGGCTAGGAGACCCCATGCTTCTGGCCACCCAGGGGCCCCCGCTGGCCCTGCGGCAGGGACAGCACAAGACCTGGACCCAAGCTTGGGGCCCTGGAGGACTGAAGATGGAGCCACCGCCCACACCCGGGTCTGTGTTGCAGGTCCGTGGCTGAGGCCACTGAGGTGGACTTGAACATGCGTGTGGGGCTGCACACAGGCCGGGTGCTCTGCGGTGTCCTGGGCCTGCGCAAGTGGCAGTACGACGTGTGGTCCAACGACGTGACCCTGGCCAATGTCATGGAGGCTGCAGGCCTGCCTGGGTACAGCCCTGGTTGCAGCCCTGGGGGGGGGGTGCTGGGACTGGCAGCCTGTGCCTGCAGCTGCTGTCTAACCAGCTAAGCCAGACAGGAAAGGACTGGAGGGAGGGCCCCGGGGGCCCGGGCGCTGTCCAAGGTGCTGACCCTGGCCCCAGGTCTGCTTCTTTCCTTCCCAGGGCAGGGTTCGCACCCCGCTGGGTGTCGTCCCCTCTGGGTCCCTGCACTCCACACTCTCCAATCACAGCCCCTGGCTTTGGCCTCATGCTGTTCACACTGCACAAAGCCAAGGCTGGACCTTTTGTAAAGTCACTGAGATCAGGTTGGGAGGGTGGCCGGATGTGCCCGCAGTGGCTGCAGGTACCAGCTGTGGTGTCGAGGGTGACAGGGAGGCCAGACACATCCACATTGTGGGGACTTGGGGAGACCCCGTGTCCCTTGCTGCCGATGCCTTGCTGGATGCTGGGGCTGGGGCTGGGGCTGGGGCCTCCTGGCCTGGGGGCTCGGGGATAGGCTTGTGTCTCTGTCACCTCCCTGCCACGCTTTCCCCCACCTGTCCTGCTGCAGGCCTGGTGCTCTTTCCTCTCCCCTTGGTGCCTCTCATTCCCCCCCCCCCCCCCCACCGCAGCCATCCTGCAGTCCCTCCCTTCCTGTCCCCAGCATTCCTCGTGCAGCTTTCCCCTGGCCAGGGATACCTATGCCACCTCCCGCAGGACCTCGGCCCCACGAGGACCCCAGGCCTCAGGGCAGATCCCACTGTGACTCTGAGCTGCCCCATCTGCAGGAAGGTGCACATCACCGAGGCGACGCTGGCATGCCTGAATGGCGACTACGAGGTGGAGCCCGGCCACGGGCAGGAGAGGAACAGCTTCCTGAAAGCGCACAACATTGAGACCTTCTTCATCGTGCCCTCACACCGGCGCAAGGTGCTTCCCTGCGGCGCACTGCCCCTCTAGTCTGGGGCTCGGCTCATCAGGGAGACCTCCCCTCCAGTTCTAGGCCTGGCTTTGGCGTGTGTTGTGGGGAGGGGCCAGCATTCTGGGCCACCTCTGAGCCATGGGACCTCAGTGGCAGGGCCGTCCTTCGTCCTTTCGGGGCCTTCATTGTGTCTTACACAAAACAGGCGTGAGACCCCCACAGGGGCCAGGCCTCCGGAGACATGTGGACGGAGGGTCACATGCACATGGCAGGGCTGTGGCTATCTTAGGTGGAGTACCCAAGGTCACCACGCCCAGGGAGTGTGATGTGGGCAGGATTGAGGGTGACTGAGCCACTTCTGGGCTCAGGGGAGGGGCAGACACCCCACCCGCTGACAGCCACGCTGTGCCGAGAGGCAAGGAGCCTGAGCTCACGGCGCTTCTGCTGCGCCTGCACAGATATTTCCAGGGCTGATCCTCTCAGATATCAAGCCAGCGAAGAGGATGAAGTTCAAGACCGTGTGCTACCTGCTGGTGCAGCTCATGCAGTGCCGCAAGATGTTCAAGGCGGAGATCCCCTTCTCCAACGTCATGACGTGCGAGGACGATGACAAGGTAGGGTGGCGCGCCTTGTGCCACTTGCAGCCTCGCTAGCACCGCTCAGGGCTTCGTGATGGCCTGCGGGTTTTCATGGCCTGGTACCCCGCACGCTCACCGGTAAATCACGCTAAGATCTGCCCCATTGTCTGAATCTACCCTGGGTCATTCACGCGTCAGGGGGTCTGTTGCTGTCCCCTTGTTCCTGCCCTCGGTCTCCGGGAGACTGGCCAGGGCTGCCCTTCCATGGGGGCTGGGCAGGGCGTGTCTCTGGCCATCTCCTCTTGTGTGCACTCCTGTCTGGTTGATGGAACTCGGCCTCCAGCATTGACTGAGGCTCCCTCTGTAGGTGGCCTGGTCTGTGGCCTCGCTTCAGGGTTTTGGGTTCTGGGGTCAGTCAGAGTCCCCTTTGGATCTCCTGGTCTCTATTGGGGTCAGAGGCAGGGTCCTGGGGGAGAGCTGGGGGTTAAGTTGGGGTGCCCATGGGGTTCCTGAGCATCCACTCTAACCACATCCGCCTTGTGCCTGTGATTCTGGCCAGAGGCCCCAGTCCCCTCCAGGGGAGCCCCGGATTCTGAGGCAGGACAGCTGTGCCAGGCAGCTGGTGTGAGCGCTGGCCACCACTGCTGGGAGAGCTGCTGCCCGTGTCCCGCCCACGGCACCCCGGCTTGCGTCCGCCTCTGTCACAGCCCCAGGCCTGCCCCTCCATCTCGGAGTGCTGGGCTGCCCACCGCACATCCCGGCCCTGCCTCCAGGGCCCCTGCGCCTCTGAGGCTCTCTGCCTTCGAAAGGAATCTCACCGCCATGCTCCCCAGGCTTTTCAGGAAGAAGGATCCTCTGCAGACTCCCTGGGGTGGCTCGTTGCCTCGGGGATCCGTGGTGGCTCTGGCTGTGAGCCGAGTCTGTGGGAACTTGATCTGGAGATTCCTTAAGTGCAGTGTGGACAGCAAGTCCGCCAGCAGGTCCACCTTCTCCTCCACCCGGCTCTGGGACTCAGCTAGTGGTTTCCAGGCACCCCAGGAGTGCACGAGTGGGGGTTAGTAGCAGCCGGGCCCTGACGTGTCCGGGCAGGTGTGCCAACCCGGGACAGGAGCCTGGGTGCAGTGAGTGTCTGGAGTCACCTCTCTGGAAGTCCTTGCCCGTCCTGCCGCCCCTCCCACCCGGGTCCTCTGCCCACACCCCCAGGAGCACCTGTTGCTCTCAGGATCCATTTACGTCAAACGTTTGTCAGGTGTGAGGACGAGGTCAGGCTCTGTCCCTGGCTCCTGGGGGCCCAGCGGCTACGGCGCCGGGTATGGAAAGGCTTGCACACTCCAGGGGGTGGCCTTGGTGCTTCTGTCACAAAGACTGTCGGCCAGACTTGCATGGGGCTCTGAAGGGCCCTCTGTTCTGTCCCGCAGGTCTGTGCGTCTGTCCCCCAGGCAGCACCATGTGGTGTGGCTCCTGTGCTTACACAATGTCTGAAAGCAGTGCAGTGAGTCCTCCCACTTTTTACTTTTAAGAAAAATGAGCGATTCTTGTCCCTTTTCCTTTGTGTCTAACATGTAAAATAAGCGTGTTTGCTTACAAAACAGCCCTGCTGGGATCTGACAGAGACCAGGGTATGTCTCCGTGGGGACAGTCACTCGGGGAGCCGTTGGATCCGTGGACGTGTTGTGTCTCCCCACGAACGGCGATTGCCTTCGGCCTCTGTCACTGGCCTTGCTTGCAGGTTCTGTGGGTGTTTTGGGAGAGTTTTGCCTCGCATCCCGCCCTCTTGGTGAGTGGGCCTGCCCCTTAACACTGGTGTTCACAGGCTCGTTGCCTGTACCAAGAAATGCCACGTTCTCCCTCCTGCGTTCATCTTGTGCCCAGGAACCTTGTGGAGCCCACTCGTTAGTGCCAGGAGTTTTGTTTTATTTTGAACGTTCCTTGGGATTTTCCATGGCTATCACTTCTATGGACGGGGCTACCATTTGTAGATGAGGATGGTTCTAGTTCTTTCTTTCTGACCCACGGGCCTTGTATTCCATTTCCTAGTCCTACTGCAGTGGCTGGGGCGCTGGCCTTAGGCGAACGGGAAGCGGGGGCAGAGAGGCCTTTACTGGCTGACTGCTGGTGGCTGAAGGTGATCGTCACATAGCTGGGGGGGTCCCCTTCGTTCCTAGTTTCTCAATCCGATGAAGCACACACGGGTGTTGAGTCTCCTCAGAAGCTTTTTCTGTGTCGTGAAGTCACGGTGGGAGCTCTCTTCTTCGTTTGACCTGTTCGTTCGGTGGGCCACACTGGCACGGCAGTGCGTGGACAGACTCGCACCTCCAGGAGCGGCGTGGCGGGCGCTGCTAGTCACAGACGGCTGGGTTCCGCCTGCGAGTGTGGCGCTGAGGACTTTGCGCCGACATTCATGCCAGATACGGCCTGTGGGGTCCTTTTTGTCTGGTTAACATGGACGATGTGCAGTGAATTGGGAAGAGCTCCTTGGGGGATGGGAGTTCATTCCCCTTCAAACATTTGGTGGAATTCTCCATTGGAACCCTCTGGGCCTGAAGGTTGCTTTTCCAGGAATTTAAAATTATGATTGCTCGTCTTTCGTGGTTATAGCGCTGCTCAGACTCTGTCACGCGGGGTGACGTGTGGGACAATGGCTTCTGTGTCTGCTGGCAGTGCTGTGTGTGGGTTTCCCTTTTACCCTCCTGGTGGCTGTGGGGCCTGAGATCACGTCCCCCTCCTGCGTTTGCTGGTGTCCTTTGCTTCATCACTTGCTTGGGATTTGTCAGTTTTATGGATATTTTCAAAGAACCAGTTGTTTCATTGCTCTGTGCTGGGTGCTGTCTTCCACTGTGCCCATGTGGGGTCCTGTCCCCATGGGTCCACCACACGGCTGCTGTGTAACCCCCCCAATGGACATGGAGCCCCTGTCACCGATGATGAAGTGACTCACCTGGGGTGTCACCGCCAGCAGGTGGTACAGCCAGGACCGCATCGCAGGCCCCAAACCCCACCCGATGCCGGCATGCACTGGGAGTGGGAGCAGTCGGTGGAGGAGTGGGGGGCGCCGAGAGCCCCTTTTTCGGAATGCGGTGACTTGACGGCAGCCCTTTCCTTCCCCGATGGCTGCAGCGTCGGGCCTTGAGAACAGCTTCGGAGAAGCTCCGGAACCGCTTGTCCTTCTGCACCAACGCTGTCCACGCTGCCCCGGGCACCCGGGTCAACAGGTACATCGGCCGCCTCCTGGAAGCCCGCCAGACGGAGCTGGAGATGGCGGACCTGGGCCTCTTCACGCTCAAGTATAAGCAGGCTGAGCGGGAGCGGAAGGTGGGTGACGGGCACAGGGGCGGCCGGGAGCTTCGCACGCCCTTCTCCGACCTGGGTGTGGGTGCTCCTCTTTCCACGGCGCCCGGCCCAGGGACGGCCCCTGGTGTCTCAGGGATGGCTGCGCTGACGCCAGCTCTGTCTGCAGTACCACCAGCTGCAGGACGAGTCCTTCACCAGTGCCGTGGTGCTCGCCCTTGTCCTGGCCGCCCTGTTTGGCCTCGTCTACCTTCTGATAATCCCGCAGTGAGTGCATGCTCCCACATCGGGCAGGGTGGGGGGCTGGGAACGCCCCTCTCTCTCGGTTCAGGGAGCCCCGGGAGCCCTCCCACCCCCAGCGTTCATGGGCAGCACAAGCCGCACACTAGCTCTGCACTGACCCAGGGAACTGGTCTATCCAGGCCGATGGCCGGGGTGGGGCTGGTCCTGCTCAGGTGCTAATTTCCAGGCTCGCGACTGTGGGACCCCGAAGATCCCATGTCCTGGTCCACATGCAGACAACATTCATTGCCTTGGCATCTGGGGAAGAAAACTCCCAGGGCAGCGGCAGGCGCCTTGGTTTCTGGGTGCGTGGCACTTTCAGAGACATTAGAGGGAGAAGGAGTTGCCTCTGAGGAGAAAGAAAAGCCCAGTGATTTTAGGAACACACAGTCGGCCCTGGCTGGTGTGGCTCAGTGTATTGAGTGCTAGCCTGCAGACTGAAAGGTCGCAGGTTCGATTCCCGATGGAGGCACATGCCTGTGTTGCAGGCTGATTCCCCAGTAGGGAGCTGCATGAGGCAGCCTCCTCTTTAAAAAGGAAAAGAACAGGTGACTGTCGTGCCTCACAGAGAGGAAGACCCAGGACATTTCTGCTTTTGTTTATATACCACGTTTTCCTGGTGGACTCTCCGGAGTGGAGTACTTCCTCTTTCTCCTCTGAGTTTTCAGTAAGGGCTCCTCCCAGCACCCTGCCCCTGCCCACACTGAAAGCACATCACGCACCTGGGGGGACCAACTGGGGCACAGGCTTTTCCTGGAAAAGCTGCTCCTAGAGGAAGCCCAGGCCAGGCTGCAGCCAGGTTCCCAGGGCTGCACCTTCCTTGCAAGTGCCCAGGGGATGCTGTTCTGGAAGGGAAGCAGCCTGCACACATCCCCGGAGACCACTGCTTCTTCCTGGGGACAGGGGTTGCCTGCTGGGGTTGGGGGTAGATTCCCAGGCAGTTCCTGGGCATGGCTCTCCAGGCCCCGCCGGCAGGGCCACCTGTCCTCTGTCCTAGGAGTGTGGCTGTCCTGCTTCTGCTGGTGTTTTGCATCTGCTTCCTGGTGGCCTGTGTCCTATACCTGCACATCACCCGGGTCCAGGTACGTGTGTGCATGTGTCCTGTGCCCGCACCTCACCTGGTCCAGGTGTGTGTCCTTATCTGCATGCGCCTCACCTGGGCAGGTACCTTTGTGGTCTCTGCCGGTCCTCTTGGCAGGACAGGTGGGGTCGTGCAGGAGTTGGTCCGCTCGCCCTCCTCCTGGCAGGGAGCAAGTATTGCCCAGGCGGCGGGAGCTCGCTGAGCCCATCGTGTGCTGGGTGCTGTGTGGAGGACGAGGCACGGGGGCAGGTGACCAAGAGGGACTGAGTAAATGAGCACAAAGTTCAATGTCATTCTGGACGAAGAGCCCCTTGGGGACGGGGGCTCAAGCACCGGTTTGTCACATGTTGGTATTGTAGACTGTGCAGCCCCCACAGCTATGCTGGTGTCCACCGTGGAGCCCAGGCCGACCGCGCCTGAGCCCTGTGGTTACAGGTAGTTGTGGGAGGGCCCCTGCCCCAGCACCCCCGCCCCCAGACTTCACTGCTGCTGCCCTGCTGCCCCCTGCCTGTCCGGCAGACCCAAGGCTATTTTCTGCAACGGTTAGAACTAGGGGCTCCTTGAAAAATTAAATCTGGTTTTCCTCATGGAAATTCATCTCTAGTCCTAGGTAACCTCTTGCCTTTTTTAACTAAAAAGTGCTATTTATTCAAACCACATTCCAGTGCTTCGACTGTCATAGGTACAGTGACATTCAGTTTGGTGAACCAGAACTTCCCATGTCAGATAAGAATACTACACTTACACGATTTCAAGGGAAAGCATCGCACATGCTAATTTCTGAAGACTGCACGTCTGCCCCCCAGGTGGGACCCGTGTGCCCGCCGGCGTGCACGGCTCTCCTGCACGGCCTGGCTCCGTCGGCCCCTTTCTGAGCATCTGCTGCTTCCCACCCCCTCCCCGTGGGCTCGGGCAGCATTCTAGGCAGCGTCAGGCCTTCCCTCCAGTGGCGGGTCAGGAAGCACAGTGGGAAGCCTGCGGTACAGGCCCTTACACTCCTGGGAGCAGGCCCTGTGCTCAGCTTGGGAGCCCCGCCGGGCCTGTGCAGAGGGCTGTGAGGTGCAGATGGGCAGCAGGGCCAGGCTGGGAGGGGTGGGGGCCACGCTGTCCAGCAGAGGCCCAGTGCGTGCCCAGGAGGGGAGACGTGTGGGCCAGCAGTGCTCACAGGGCTCGCTGGTTCCCGGGACGTGAGTGCACTGTGGCCTGGTGGTGGCTGGTGTGCACTTCGGATGGGCACCTTCTTTGCAGCCAGGACTGGTGGCCTCAGTGACCTTTCAGCTTCGTGTTTCCATCACGCCCCCACCCCCACTGGGGTACTGAGCCAGGCAGGGAGGAAGAGGGCGGGCCCACCGTGAGCTTCCTTCCCCCGTGCGGCATGTCTCCCACGCAGCAGCGGGCCCTGCCCTGAGCTCCTCGGGCCCCAGTGCCATGGGGGCTGTGGCCGTGTGCCTCACCTGTTTGCCCAAGGGGCTCAAACCCAGCTGCCGCATGGCGTCACCGGGAGAGTGTCGGCCACGTTAGGGCTGACCGTCCACGGTGTGGTCTTTGCTTTCATCGCATTTCCCACTTCCAGAGTGTGAGTCTGAAAAAAAACCTCCGGCTTTTATCCATGGAATTGTTGACCATTGAAAAATGTATTTAAAATAGTCGATTTATGCCCCGGCTGGTATAGCTCAGTGGATTGAGCGGAGGCCTGCAAAGCAAAGGGTCCCAGGTTCGATTCCCAGTCTAGGGCGCATGCCTGGGTTGTGGGCCAGGTCCCCAGTTAGGGAACATGCAGGAGGCAACCACACATTGATGTTTCTGTCCCTCTCTCCTTCCCTTCCTCTCTCTCTAAAAAATAAAATAAATAAAAAATCTTTAAAAAATTTGATTTAAAATAAAATGTCAAATAACATAAAAATTATACAAAACTTGTGTGAAGAAAATGATAACATTTACTTGAGCATGAAGACGGCAATAAATAAAAATTCTCACCACTTGTGAGGTAGAAGGACTCACATTGTGAGGATTCAGTTGATTTCGGTGCCAAAGTCACAATGCGGGGGGGGGGGACGGGGGAGGCGTTGCTCCTTTTGATTTAAAGATGCGAGGTTTTTCAGCAAGTTTGTCACCCGGGAGATTAAAAATAAGAAAACGGCCAAGAAACGTGGAGGGTGAGCAGCGGCCGAGACCCCGGCAGCGCTGAGGGTACTGGGAGCCGCTTCCCAGTTTTTCTGAAATGACGCTGCGCTGTCAGTGTTTCCCAGGCTGCCTGACCGTCCAGATCCGCACTGCGCTGTGTGTGTGCATCGTCGTCCTGGTCTACTCTGTGGCCCAGGGATGCGTGGTGAGCCTGGCAGACTTGCCTCGGGGCTGGGTGCAGGGAGCTGGGCGGTGCGGGGCTCCCGTGGAGAGCGGGGAGGTTGGACATGGGGATCAGATTGGCCTGGGGGTGCCCGGGAAGCCAGGGGAGGGGCACGTCATCCAGCAGAAGAAATGCACTCTTCTCCTTGCAAAGGGAGACCTTCCCCTCTGTCGTGAGCAGAGGGCAGAAGATGGGGGAGGGGTAGGAGGAGGGGGTGGGAGGAACCAGGGGGCAGGGCAGTTGTAAAGCTGTTGGATCTTGGGCCAGTGGGTTTGCAGGTGTGGAGGCCTGAGGCTGCAGGGGCCTTGGGAGGAGGGGCAGCTGGGGGTGTTGTGAGCCCCTCCCTTGCTCCTTGCTCTCTGTCCCCCTTTAGGTGGGCTGCCTGCCCTGGGCTTGGAGCTCCAGTCCCAACGGGTCCCTGGTGGTCCTGTCGCCCAGAGGCCGGAACCCAGTGCTGCCCGCATCGCCCTGCGAGGCGGCGCCCCATGCTCTGCTCTGCGGCCTTGTGGGTGCGCTCCCGCTCACCACCTTCTTGCGGGTCCCATCTCTGCCCAAACTGACCCTGCTGGCCGTGCTCAGCATGTCCCATGTCCTGGTGCTGGAGTTCAGCGGGCTCTCCAGGGCCGTGGGGTAGGTGTGCCGCTCCCTTCAGGACAGACCTGCGTGGTGTTGGGGTGTGTGGGCCGAGGGCTCCATGCTCTGGTGGCTGGTCGGGACCTTTGGTTTGGTGGCTTCCACATTTCAGCCCCAGGTTTGGGAAGGCCTCTGGTTCTGGGGTTACCTCTCTCGGCTTGAGTCAGTCCCAGGGGTCGAGGCAGGTGTCGTGTGTGAGGGTGCTCTTTGGACATGGCTGTGTCAGATGACGAAGTCGGCACGGCTGGGTTTCTTTCTTGTCTTTCCCAAGGGGTGATGCCGGCTCCGCACGCAGCTTCGAGCCAATTCTGGCGATCCTGCTGTTCTCGTGCGCGCTGGCCCTGCATGCCCGGCAGGTGGACGTCAAGCTGCGGCTGGACTACCTGTGGGCTGCGCAGGCAAGACGTGCCCTTCTGCTTTCTGGGGGGTGGCAGGTGCGGGTCCTGGCTGGGTACCAGCCAGCTGTGAAGGCAGCGCCATCTGGCATGAGCAGTGGGACTGGGACTGGAGGGAAGACGACACAGCAGGGCTGGAGGGATGGCTTGGCTGACCCCTTCTGGGGGTCTGAGTTTGGTGGTTTTGTGAGTAGTGAGTTTCCCATCCCCAAAGGCATTCAAGCAACCACTCGTCTACTTTCTGTAGACAACTGCCTGGGGCTGGTGTGACCCAAGGGCAGGCTTATGTTGTGGGAAGGGCTCTGTGGATGCCTGGTCCCCAGAGGTGGCAGAGAGGGACCCTGGAAATGGGGTGAAGCTCCCTACTGACTGTCCTTTGAAAGTTCCAGCAGACTGGGTAGTGATTTTCCTGGAAAGTCATGGGTCCTGTGGGTGGCTGTCCCCTCAGTCTACGTGTCCACGGGGTTGGGGCTGGAATGGGCCTGGCGTGGGCCCTCGGTGTCTCCATGTTCCGTTCGGTGATGAGAAAGGAGCGTGTGTTCGTGATGTCGGGGACGGTGCTCAGCAGATACGGCACTCACGGGGCCCATTAGCAGTGTGGAGGCAGACGTTCACAACACACGTGACAGTGCAGGGGCCCCTGCAGGGAGGGGGTGGGGCTCAGCCCCAGACGTACAAGGGAAGGATGGTTAACCAGGAGCAGGTGGGGCGGGCCGACGGATGCTCACACAGGGGACGCATCAGAGGTAAGGGGGCAGTTTGGGCTAAGCCGATGTAACGGGATTCCAGCTGCGGACGGCCTGGTGGTCTGATGTCACTGGGAGGGTGGGGGGGGGGACCAGGAGCCTCTCAAATGTCCCTCGTGGTCAGACATAAAGGACAGGCCTGGCTGAGATGGCGAGCAGGGATGCTCCCCAAGTCAGGACTCAGCTGGGAAGGGGGTCCCGGGTGTGGCCACCCAGGGTGCTGAGTGGGCTGAACGCATCCACCGCAGGCGGAGGAGGAGAGGGATGACATGGAGCGAGTGAAGCTGGACAACAGAAGGATCCTCTTCAACCTCCTGCCGGCCCACGTTGCCCAGCACTTCCTTATGTCCAACCCCCGGAACATGGTGAGTGTAGCCTCAGGCACGCTGAGAGGCCACCCCCAAGGGCAGGGAGGGCTGGGCTGTCGGGAAGCTCCTGGGACAGACACGGTGCCCAGAATGGTGGCTTCCCTTTGATCCTGGAGAGCGCACAGTGCCCCTCATCCCTGAGGAGGGACAGTGGCTTCCGCAGCCAATGTGTGTTGTCTGGGCTGGTCAGAATTTCTTCTGGCTGCAGCTGCCCAGCGAAGCCCTGCGGCCGTGGAGCCGCAGAGAAGGGCTGACAAATGCTAATTCGAGAGGAATTAGCAAGCCTAGAGGCTTGGCCAGCTTTTTGGCTCCCAAGGCACAAGCCTCAAGTGTCAGCCTGACCGGCGTGGCCTGGAATAGCTCCCGGGCTCAGTCTCGGGCCATGGGCTGCAGAGGCCTCTTGCTGCCCACCCTCGCCCTGCTCTGCACTGGCTGTGAGCTGACCACCTGGGCGGCTCAGACCCTCTGAGCCCCTCCCGTCGGCAGCAACAGTCCCCAGCAGCAGCTCCCCAGCTGACCTGACCTTTGCCCCCAGGACCTCTACTACCAGTCGTACTCCCAGGTGGGTGTCATGTTCGCGTCCATCCCCAACTTCAATGACTTCTACATCGAGCTGGACGGCAACAACATGGGGGTGGAGTGTCTGCGGCTGCTCAACGAGATCATCGCTGACTTCGATGAGGTGAGGGTGCCGCCGGCCGCCTGGAGCCGGGCGTCTGGGCTGGGTGGGGCCACCGCAGCCCTGGGCGGGACCACCTCCTCTGCAGTGGGGCGCATGCCCCATGAGGGACAGGACAGGGGAGCATGTGTGTCCATCTTCTTGGATTTTGACAGGACCGGGTAGGGGAGTACCTCTGGGCAGGCACTGGGTTGTGAGGCTGATGCTGCCTCTGTCCCTCACCCTGGGGGATCGGGGGGCATGGGCTGGAGCACAGGCCATTCTGGTGGCACCCCCAGCTCCTCTTTCTCAGGCCCCTGCGGGAGCCCCTCTGGCCTGCATTTCTCGGCTCAGCCCAGACCTGGCCCGGTGCCCAGAGCAAAGGAGACACAGGGCTCAGCGGTGACTCTAGCGTCCGATGGTCATGGCGACTTGTCTAAAATGTAATGTAACGTTGAACAGTTTTTGTTTTCAACAAGCTCATGGACAAGGACTTTTACCGGGACCTGGAGAAGATCAAGACCATTGGCAGCACCTACATGGCTGCGGCAGGGCTGGCGCCTGCAGCCGGGGCCAAGGTGAGTTGTGCCCGGGAGCCCCAGTCGGGACTGTCCCTGCCCCCAGCTGCCCTGGGAGCCTGGACAGGCCCCCTGTCTGGGCCTTGGCCTGTCCTCTGCATAGGGTTAAGGCAGAGGCCAGCGGACCACCTTGGCAGTGGCCAGCTCTCTCCAGACACCACCTCCTTCAGAAGGTCAGCACGGGGGGGCTGGTCACAGGGGCTTCACCACAGCGCTGCCCTTCTCCACCAGCCCACGCCCACTGAGTGTCCCCCTTCCCCAGTGCAGAACTGGGCACAGAGTCCTCAGGCTGTCTGTTAAAAAAAAAGCAGAAACAGGGAGATGCAAAAAAAGGGCGCAGTGAGTGGACAACAGTTACAGACGTGGCAGATGCTCGGCCAGTCACACCGGCGATGTGGCAAGCACGCCCACTGGAAGGCAGGCTGACGGAGTGGCTTCAAAAAGAACAGCTGGGTTTCCCACAAGAAACAGGCTTTATAAAGATACACAGAGACACACTAAAAACAAAAGGATGTAGAAAGAGCATGTTGACAGGAATAAAAACCCGAGCAGCTGTCCTGACCTTGGAACCCACCTTAGATTAAGGAGCATCGTCAGAGATACAGGGTCGCCTAGGCGGGCAGTGGAGTCGCCTCTCCGAGATGTAACAGTAACAGTCGTCAGTGTGTTTGCACTTAACAGGGAGTCAGACAGAAGGCGGGCGGAATGGCTGGCAGAGTGGCCAGGAGGAAGAGGTGACCCCGCCGCTGTAGCTGGCGGTTGGTGCTGGGAGGATGCCAGGGGCCGAGCGTCAGTGGGGGGAGGTGAGCTAGTTTACCAAGAGATTACCATGAGGTTGCAGGACGTAAGGTCGACCTACGAAGGTTGGTGGCTTTCCCATACATCAGGAATGAACAAGTGGAACTTGAAATAAAAACAAGGCTATTTACCCACGCACGGCCCCTGAGTAAACACCAGGGGTAAATCTACAATTGTGCACAAGGGCCACAGGAGGAGGCCTGTAAAACTCTGGTGAGGAAGGTTCTTCTTCCTGTAGAGGGGCTCCCTGCTGCGGAGACGCCAGTGGAGCCCCAGGCTGACCCGTGGGTTCTAGGCGATCCCAACGGGTTATTCTGGGATGTCAGCCAGCGGGTCCGGAGTTTAGGAGGAGCCAAAGACCCAGGACAGCTGCATGACGCTGAAGGAGAGGAACGGGGTCGGGGGGGGGGGGCTACTCCACCTGATTGTCAGACTTAGAGGAAGCAAGTCAGTGCGGCCCTGACAAGAGGGAGACACAGGGATCGGGGGAGGGGACAGGGAGCCCAGAACTGGACCCCATGAGCACAGACAAAGGAGCAAATGGAGCAGAGAGAGACTCTTTAACCAACAGTTCTGGGACAACTGGACATCCGCCTGTCTGTCTGTGTATCTGTCAATCTGGTTTTAGAAGTGCATCTACACACAGACTTGACACTCTTCACAAAAATTAGCTCAAAGTGGATCATAGACTGAAATGCAAAGTGGAAAACTAGAAAACATTGGGAAGAAACCAGAACACCCAGGGGACTTGTGTTCAGTGATGTGTTTTTAGGCACAGCACCGAAGGCACGGCCCACAAAACAGAACATCGGTCAGCTGGCCCTAGTTAAAAACTTGAAGTTCTAATCTGTGGAAAATACTATAATGAAGAGACAATCTACTGACCGAGAGAAATTTTTTCAAGTGAAACTGTTCTGTATTATACAATTTTGCATATACTGGTCAAAACCCGTGGAATGCACAGCACGCAGAGCCGTGCCTAGTGTGAACTGTGGATTGCGGCCGGCGCTGATGAATTGGAAGTATCTGATGAAGCGTTAGTGGTAACTAACCTATCGTTGCGCATCATGAGTTAACAGTGGGGGCGGGGAGGGCATCTTTGTGCTCTGGCTTCAGTTACTTGCATATCTGACACTGGCGTAAAAACTGTTAGTTAATTTTTTTAAAAAATGCATTAGTTCCCTGAATTTGAGGACTAGTAAAAATATCCTTTAAAAAGAAAAGTGAGAAATCTTGGCATCTTTATAAAGAAATCTAGCGTTGTCACTGTGTCAGAAAAAAAAGGACATTTCCCCACCAGGGAATGATGGCCAGCTTGGTCCCATGTGGGAGGGGGACCCCCGCTGACCTGTTTTCCTTGTTTATGGCCTAGTGACAGCGTTGTCCTAGCAGCACCTGGGACATCTGGTGCCCACTCAAGGGGCTGCCCGCTAGTCTGTGAAGGGCTGGCCTGGGCTGTGCTGGCCCCTATCTCAGCTTCCTGCCTGTTGCAGGGGCCGCTCAGGCTGTCCCTGGGGATCTGGGAGGAGCACAAATCCCTGGAAAAGATTGGCCTGCTGCCCCCAGGGCATAGGAATGGGCTGAGGTCGTCAGGGGACTGCCATGGTGATATGGGGTCCCTGATCCCACTGGAGCCATAGGCTGGGCCCCCATACCCAGCAGCTGCCCTGCGGGGCGGCCCTGCCCCTTGGTCCTCATTCCCCCAAATGTGATGCCCGTGTCTGCTCTTGTCCAGGCTAAGAAGTCCATCTCCTCCCACCTCAGCACGCTGGCGGACTTTGCCATTGAGATGTTTGGCGTCCTGGACGAGATCAACCGCCAGTCCTACAATGACTTTGTGCTCCGTGTGGGTACGTGCCTGTGGCCTTCCCGCCACTTGGCCAGCTCTGCCTCCTGGTGCCGGCTCCGGGGGTGTGGCTGGGCCCTGTCCCTGAGAGTGGGGTGAGCTGATGGGGGAAGGCAACCCCACCAAAGGGACAGCTTGGGGGCGCAGGGACAGCTGTCTCTGGAAGTGGGGTGTCAGTGCCGTAAAGCTGGAAGGGTTCAGATCCTGCTCAGTAAACACCCAGATACCTCTCTTTTTGTCTTGACATCAAGTCAAGCCTCCGAGTCCACAGGGAGCTGGAGGAAAGTGGTTTGTTTCCACCGGCCGACCCCAAACACGGCGAGGTCCTGCGTGCGGGGTGGGGGGTGGGTCCTTGTCATCCTGGGTGGCCCCTTGCCTGGGAGTGAGGAGAAGAAGCTCTGAGTGGTTCGCTAGCTTTTACAAAACCATGGGGTCAGTTTTTGTTTTAACTTGATTTTTTTCTGAGACAAAGGCAGGACCAGAAAAATTCCTACTAGTTCTGGGTAGAATTAAACCGGAGATTTAAGGTTGCTTTAGAATTTACAAACAGACCCAAGTGCTGGGATTGAGTGTGAGGACGGGAGCAGGTGACCATTAGAGTGGGCGGGGTTCAGATGGACTTGAACCCAGCTCTGCTGCAGAAACCCAGTCCCTCCGGGTCTGGCGGACGGTGTGCTGGGCCCCACCCCCACAGCATCTGGGTCTTTTCCTCCTGCCGCGGCTCTGACTGACCTGTGTGGCACAGGAAGCAGATCTGAGGGTCTGTCGGGGATGCCATTGCCGTGTCTCCACAGGGACCCCACAGACAAGCCTGGCCACTGTGCCCGATGTCCGGTCACACAGGGGGCTGGACGCTAGTCTCGTCCCCATGGCCCAGGGCATCCTGGTTGGTGTTGGGGGTTCCCTTTGTCTACCAGCCAGGTATGAAGTGGTCATCTTGGGTCCCTGTCCCCTGGCTGCAGTGCAGCTCACACTCTCCAGTCCTGCCCTGCCCTCCCCTGTGCCCCAATCCCACTGCCCAGGCTCTGGGGCACCAACTAGGCCCATGTCCAAAATGGTGCCGACGCCCCTGGCTGCACCCAGAAAGACCAGCGCAGGAGGGTGGAACAGGAAGATGGCCACAGGGCCGCTTGTGTTTCCCCTGGGCAGACTGGACCCTGGCCTGTGCGGACAAGGGGACCTCACCCCCCTCAGAGCGTCCTGAGACGCTATGACCCATCCTGGGCCCCGCACCCAAAGCAGCCTTGAGATCCCACCCAGGGACACAGGCAGCACCCCACCCAGGGGGGCACACGGAGCTCCCACAGATGAGTGGTCAGCCTTCCGTGGCCAGAGTCTGCATGGTTGCCAGCACTGTTCTCGGGGTCAGGACAGTGCCACCCCAGGAGGTGGTGGTCCTGCATTAGGAAGGGGTGCCGCACCAGGTGACTCCCAGAACCTGTGATCTGAAAGGGGCAGTGTGTCTTCTGGAAGCATCTCTGGGACCCCCATGGTGGTTGTCTTCCAGGCATTAACGTTGGCCCTGTGGTGGCCGGTGTGATCGGGGCTCGCCGGCCGCAGTATGACATCTGGGGAAACACTGTGAATGTGGCCAGTCGGATGGACAGCACCGGTGTCCCCGGTAGGATCCAGGTCAGCCACCCCAGGCCCCGAGGCGCAGGCCCCAGGCCTTTCAGGGACAACGTTGTCCTCCTTCCTGCAGGCTCAGAGAGCCCTGCCCCTCTCACCTGTGAGCCCAGCTGCTGCTCTCTCCCCTGCAGGTGACCGAGGAGGTGCAGCGGCTGCTCAGGCAGGGCGCCTACCATTTCCTGTGCCGTGGCAAGGTCAGCGTCAAGGGCAAGGGCGAGATGCTGACCTACTTCCTGGAAGGCAGGATTGACACAAATGGCTCTCACACCAGGTCCCTGAACTCTGAGCAGAAAATGTGTCCTTATGGGAGAGCCAGCTTCCAGACCAGACTGGCTTCGGGCCAACCCCCTGTGGCCCCCATGGTCGGCCACCCAGTTGGAGGTGGGCTGGGGGCTGGGCAGGGCTTAGGGCTCGCTGCCCGGCCTCCTGACCCACCCCCACCCCCAGGAGCAGCTGGGAAAGAGGCTTAGTGGAGCCCTGCTGGCCGCTGGGGGCGCAGGGCCAATGCCCAGGGCTTCCGTTACTTCAGAACCAGCCCGGCCAGCAGCCAGGCTAGGGAAGTGGCCAGCCCCACTGGCGCAGACAAGCAGACACGGGGCTACTCCATCCTGTCCTCGTGGCGGGGGAGGGTGGGGCTGGCTGCCCAAGTTGGGCAGGTGAGTGCAGGGCTGCAGGCTCCCAGGAGAGCAGGCCTGCAGGAGCCCAGAGTGGCTGGGAATGAGGCCTGGGACCAGACCCAGAGCTGCTGGGCCCTGGACGGACGGCTTGGGGAGACTGAGGAGCCTGGGCCCGGGCCCAGGGTGGAGGCTGCTGGCTCTCTTCAAGAGTCACTTTTTGCCAAGAACCAGAGGGCGGTCCCCTGCGGCCACATCCCTGCCTTGTGACCAGTGCGTCCCGGTCATGTGGGCTGTCTCCCAGCTCTGTCCTGCTCACCGTGCCGGTGGGTTGGCATGGCCCCACTTTCCGAGTGGCCTCTTGGGCTCCTGCACGTGGACTGGGGTGCGCAGCCTCTCTGACTGTGTAAACAAGTGGAGCCCACAGCCTAAGGAGCTTCCTTGCCCGAAGGTGTTTCTATGGTGGAACCAGCCCCGGGACGTGGTTTCAGTGTCTACAGCCATAAAACTGGGTCCCCACCGTGGCCAGCAGGGGCAGCGACATCTTCCAGGAAGTAGGTGGGTCTGTGGGTGTGGGACGAGGTCTCCTGCTCGGGGAGGCCGTGACCCCCCAACCCCACAGCACAGATGGGGCCAGGCCGTGTAGGTATGCAGCAGCACAGGGTGGGGACCACCTTTCTCTGGGCAAAGCTGGTGGGGGGACAGGACGTGGCCCCTGAGATGGCATGTGGCCTCCAGTGGGAGGGTGCTTTGCAGAGGGGGTTGAGGGTGCAGCCATACAGTTCGGAGAGCCCCACTCTCCAAGGGGGCTCATTCGACCTTGTGTCCCCTTAGAGGTTGGAGAGGTCAGCAGAGTTGTCAGGACAGGTCAAAGATGAGTGGATGCAGAGGGTGGGAGGTGAGGATGCCCCAACCACTCTCATCGGGGCAGCGGAGGTCACCCCCCAACCCAGTGAGTGGGGGCAGGGCACCCTAGTAAGCGCTGTACAAGGGACACATCAGAAGTCCTATGAGACTCTCAAGTGTCACCTCGCAGGGCAGGGCCCCAGGCCACAGACCACCCCTGAGTACTCTGGAGCTCGAGGTCCCCGGGAGCCACCCCTCAGCCATCGGCAAGGCCACCTGCTTCCTGGGACACGGGGCCAGCAGCCACACCTGCGCTGGGGAGCGCAGGAAGCACCTCCTTCTCGTTCATGATAAGACTGTTGTGTTGCCTTATTTATTTTTAATTTTGTACAATATCCATGCACAAATGTTAGGGCTTTGAGTGGGACCCTCCAACACTCAGCCACTCTGTAAATAGTGCGCTGGGAGCTGGCGCCGCCCGCCCATCCCCCCAGAATGGAGGAGAGCCACCCAGTGCGTTTCCAGCACATCGTGCCCCGCTTGGCAGTGCTCTGCCCTTTGGAGCACACCCTGCCCTCGTGTGACCCCCGCATGCCCGTGCTCCCCCTCAGTAGAGCAGAACACAGCCCCGAACTTCCAAATGCTTCCAGGGACTGTCGGCCCCAGGCTGGCCCCTCTACGACTTCTGTGCCGCAGACCCGGCTGGCTGCACCTGACCTGTCCACCAGCCCCAAAGCCACCAGGGCTGCCAGGCGCCTGGTGCCGCAGAAGCAATAATTGTATCTAAATGCAGAGACAAGTGAGGCCTGAGCAGACCACTGGTTCAGAGATAGGCTGCGTGCGTGATTCAGCCCGGGCGTAGGGTGCCATGGGACGACACCCCCGCCTCCTGGCCGGCCCTGTGCACCCAGCTCAGGCAGCCCCTCTCTGGGGCTGGCTGTGTGCACCGGGATTGGGACCCCCTGCCGAGTTGTCCTGGGGCTGTCGCTCTGGCCAGGACGCCAGTCTCCTGTGATAAACAGGCTGCTGTGGGCCCTGGGCGTGGACAGCACCCGCCAGCCTCCTGACCCCACATTCCCATCCCCTCATAGAGTACCATGCTGTCCTCACGGCCACCTTGAAGCAGCCTCCTGCTTCTACTGCCACTCCGGCAGGACGGGTGGTCAGCCTGGACTTTGGGATTTTCCCGGGACCCGTCTTGGTTTCAGCGTGCGCCCCCTCCTTCTGTACCGGGAGTTGCCGTGACCCCGAGGGACAGGTCCTGCCTGAGACACTCGAGTGTGGCTTGTGAAGCAGGTGCTGCCCAGGCGTGTGTCCTACTGAGCGGTGCCTGTCACAGGGACAGACACCACACCTGAGTGCATCGCGGAGCAGATGGGGGGACCACAAGGTCGCTTTGGCACTTTTGATCCTGAAAATGTGCAGACCTGCACGTTCTACGTCAGTGACCCCCAGAAATGGACTTGCCCTGTTTTGTAATGGTTTCCATTAACAAACAAACAAACAAACAAACAAACAAACAAACTCAACAAAAGTAGAGAAACAAAAGAATCACCTTCCCAGAGGCAGTTGGTTTGGAAGTAGCAGTTCAGTGTTGGCAAGGAGCAGGTGCTATGGCTGGAGGCCGGAGAGCATGCAGTGTCCCTGGGCCTGGACACCGGTTTCTGGTGGCCAGAGGCTCTGGGGCTCTTGTTGGAAGCCTGATGCAGTGGTCGGTCCCTTGCTGCCATTTAACACTCCAGGTTCTGCAGCAAGTAGACCGTGAGAAATGTGACGTTTTCTCATGGGGCATCTTGGGCCTGCACTTGTCTTCCTGGGCCTTGGGCTACGGGTGTGGGTGACGCAGACCCAGGACGTTGGGGGGCTGTGTGGGAGCCCGAGCTCAGCCGCTTGGGTGGGGCTGACAGTGGGGACGCAGGCTTTCAAAGTTGAACAGCACAGTGTCCACCCTCATGCGACACACGCTGTGAAGATAGGCCACAGGTCCCTGTGGCTGGCACAGTGGGCAGTGGGGCAGTCAGGTTGCTGCAGCCTCCATGGGCCCTGGCACCCCCACGCCCACCAAATCACACCTGAGTCTGAGGTGGTCTGAGGCCAGTCTCCCAGCTGGACCCAGCCCCACTGAGCCTGAGGAGGGTGGGTAGGGGGTGGGACAGGGCCTACAGACCCCTGGTGAGAGGGCAGGAGGGGCTCCGTGGGGCTCAGCTGGAGGGGAGACCTGCTCCCAGCTGCAAGTTTTCCCAGGGTGGGGTGGGAGCCTGGGAGGCGATTTTCTGTGAGCTGGTGGGAGCAGCTGAATGTGAACCTGGAGACAGCATGGGCCCCACGTGGCGGGGACTTTAGCAGAGGGGGCAGGGCTGGTGTGGCCAGCAGGGCAGTGGCTGCGACCTGACTCCCATTTGCCCTCTGAACCCACTGGGGACCCTGTGGGCACAGCCTGAGGCAGCCACTGACACAGGGGTGCCCCTCCCCTCTGTGACAGGGCCCCAGGAGGCAGACTGGTCCCCACAGTCCATACTGGGTGTGCCCCAGGCACGGCCCCACAGCCCCGGGCCCCACACAAAGAGATGGGGTTGTGTCCTGAGGGCTGAGCCCCGTCCTGCCTTTAGCAATGGGCCCCATGGGATGGGGCATGTTCAGCCTGGAAACCCCCTCCCGTGTCTGGTCCCACTTTCTGTCCTGAACCAAGTCCCAGGGCACAGCCTGTCCCTGACTAAGGAAATGCTGTCTGTAAGGCTTGCTGGACATCAGACATGGCAGAAAGGGGTCCCCAGATGCCCCAAATCACACATACCTCTCCAGTTACCGGAACCCAACCCAGCTCCTGGTCAGAGCCACCCACGTCCTTGTCACCTTGCTGGCCTGGGGTGGGTGGTCAGCGCCCCTTCCTGGGCACTAGAGGGGGTCTGAGAGCAGGGAATTCCATGGGTGGCGAGGTGTGGGGAACACCTTGTTCGAGCCTCTGCGCCTCCCCCAGGCCTGAGCCCTGTGGTCCCCGGGGCTCAGACTTCAGGGGTTTTGGTTTCCAAGGCGACTCTCACCGAGAATTGATGTTGAAATGGAGGGTAACCTGGACTCACCCCAGGAGATTGATCCAGCCCTTTGGGCTTCCCAAGTGCACGTGGGCGGTGAGCCGGAACAGCCACTAGGACGCTGCGTCTGGGGTCCCAGCACGGCAGGCACTTGGCCCCCCAGGCAGCCAGAACTTGTCTCTTGCCTCCCACCAGCAACCCCCACGTAGCCCCAGCACGAAGCACACGTCTCAGGGGACTGTCCCCTCGTCCTGGGAGCCCCACTGCCTCTGCCGGCACAGCGGGCGCCACACTCCCAGCACCGTCCTGCCTAGGGGAGCGGTTTTGCCTTCATCCCTGTAGAAACCGTGCACACCCAAGCCATTTGCACGCGGGCTGCATGCTGTGAAGTCCCCGATGGTGTGATTTCAGTTTGAGTTTGGAATCACACAGCATGCGCAGCAAAGGGCCATCTGCTGGCTGGCCGCAGAGCGCCCGAAAGGGCGGGTCCCGGAGCCCGTGCCTCAGCTCCAGCCCGTGCCCACCGGCCCGTTCACACTGGTCACGCGCCGCCTCGCACAAGCGAGCATGCGGAACGTACTCACCCCTTTGCGGTGGGCCCCCACTCACCCCATTGAGGCAAAGCCTGAGTCCGCTGTGGGCTGGCTGTCCTCCGTGGGGACAGGGTGCAGGGGCCGTCTGCGTCCCTAGGAGGGCCTCTCCTCCACGGGCGCGGTCTCCCACCAGGACAGCTCCGCAATGCGCGAGCATGGATGCCGGAACGACGGCTCCACGTCACCTCCTCGTGATAGATTTGTGTGATCAATACGGGTCTATTTTTACGCCAGCAGGACACTGCAGAGCACCTTCCAGTCTTTTCCAAGGTTGTTAAACCGAGACAAGTCATTGAACAATATGTCCTGTTTTTATTTTAAAAACAAGCGAATGGACTGAACTGTTAAATGTGAATGTACGTTTCTTAATTGCAACTTTTCTACTGAGTGTTTGCACTATACTTTCTGGAATCTTATTTAACAAAAAGTAAAGGAAAAAATTGCTTGACTAAACTCATGGCTGTTTTAATGGAAGAACGAGTGGGTGTCGTTGCAACACGCTGCCTGTCTTGCTGACCCAAGGGACAGACTCTGTGATGCCCCCGCCCCCACTGGGCTCTGCCCTCCTGTGATGACAAAGCCTGTCGAGTGACGGTGGAACTGAGGGTGACACTCTGTGCGTGAAGGAAAGCGCAGATGGGCACTTAGGGGAGTGTGGTCAGGTGGCTGGGGATGTGGACATCACGTGGGGTATGACAACCAGAGCAGGACTCGGCGGGGGGGGTCCTCATCAACAGGCTGAGCGTCAATGTTGGCTCGAACCCGACTCAGCAGGCCATGTTGGGCCAGGTGGCACTCAGCAGAGAAGAGCGGTCGGGGAGGGTTTGACATTGGCTGGGACACAACTGATACCTGTCCTTGTGGGGCGCCTGTCACACCCCTGAACCAGGAGCAGGAGAAACAGGGCTGGAGCAGGGACCAGTGACCCAGGGCTGGTGGCTGGGAAGGGCCGAGGCCGTGTGGGTGGGGTGGGGGGCACACCCTGGGGACCCCAAGAGCCTGGTGGAGGTGTTGGCCCATTTCTGGTTTTTCCAAGTATGAAACAAGGTGGAGACAGGCCGCCTGGCGGGGCGTCACACACTGACCAGAACCCGTTCCCGGGCAAACGCCGTGTCGTGGACGTGCCGCCGGGAAGGGCGGGCAGAGAAAGGCCTGCCGCCCCACACAGGGCCACTGCCGGCTCTCCTGCCCCTTTCCGCTTTTGCGTTTCATTCAAAAGATTAATATATATATTATTTAAAAATAAATTTCCCCTTTATTTTTATTGTCAACACCGTTGCAGAGCCCCCACCCCCCTCTGAATGAAACATCGAGCAGCAGAGGCAGCCGCTCCTGCGCGAGGAACTAGCTCAGCAAACACATTTCCACCACGCACAGGACTCAGGCGCCGTCCCCTCCTGTGAGGACTGTCGTTGCTCTTTCCATACTGGGGACCTGGAGGTGGCCCTTCCAGGGGGACCTGCTTTGCCGTTCATACTCCCACAGCTTGGGAACCCCCACCTCTGCCTCTCGGCAACCCTGACCTCGCCTGCCCGGGCCACCTACTGTGCCGCCCAGCCTGAGAGTCTGTTTGGGGGCCCCTGTTTTGGGGTGCTTCATGTCGGGGTGCATGCCCCTTTGATTCTGCCCCAGCAGCAAGCTTGGCCTCTGTTCCTGAGAAGCACTGGGCTGCCCCACAGGCCTGGACAAGGGAGTGCAGACATGAGGCTTCTTTGGTTTTTAGAAGAAAGGAAAAACACATGTGTAGATGAAGTGGGGACATGAGAACATGCCCAAGAGTAGAGCCCAGCTCTGTGCCTGCAACCGTGTGCATCCCCAGAGAGACGCACCTGGGGGCTGGGCCTGGCGGTCCAAGATGTTTCCTGTGCACCTGAACCTCCTGGGTGCCGTTCCTTCTTCCCCACAGTGGGCAGGGGCATGGGTGGGCAGGAGGGCCCCTTCCTCTGCCTCCAGGGAACAAACCCGGTACCACAGGCCCCAGAAGCCCTCAGGCTGAGAACCCCGGTTCCGGGTTTTTCCTGGTATGACATTCTGAACCCAGGACCTGGGGTCCCCAGCCATCACCAGGCGGACGGGTCCATGAGCTCCCTGGTCTTTACCTTCAAAGCATCAGTGAGACTCCCCCCACTGAGCCAGACTGGACTCTTGGAAGCAGGTGGTAGGTGGGGCTACACCCCATGGGGGGGGGCAGCTCAGCTGGCGCAGCCAGGACCACACTTGGATCTGAGTAACAAGGTCTTTATCAACAGCCCCCCCCACCTGAGTGGCATGATGTGGTGGGGGCCCTCAAGGGGGTACCTGCAGCAAGTCCCAAGGAGGGTGTAGGGTGTACAAGCGGATGGACAGATGAGTAGGACAGATGGACAGAGGGACAAGAGTCAGGCTGAGCCCCTGAGCCCCCTGGTCTCCCACGGTCAGTCGTCCAGCACGGTGAGCTCGTGCTGGGTGGCCTCCTCGATGCTCCAGAGCAGGCGGGCCTCCCACTGCCTCACGCGCTCGGTCTGTGGGAGCAGTGGGCTCGCTGAGGGGCACCAGCAGGGACAGCAATGCCTCCTCCACACTGCTTACCCCCCACCTGTCAGCTCCTGGGCACCCTGGTGCAGGGTTCCCAGAGTTGATGGGCTGGCAAGGGTGCCCAGGGCAGGGGCCTGACTGCTGGCATGCACCGCCTTGGTCATCGGAACCCCAGGGATGGGTGGGAGGGGTCTGGAGCCAGGAGGGGTCTCAGCTGCCAACCTGTGTGAGGGGCGAGTGGCCTCCCCGGCAACCCCTTCCCAGCAACCCCCTGGACCAGGAGGTCAACAGGGCACTGGGGGCTGGGACCCAAGCTCAGAGAAGCACAGGGCCCTGGGGACCCTCCCACTGACTGACTGTTACTTCGGGACCCTTGGTGCCAGCCAGAGTGGGGAGCAGGGCAGTGGCTGCAGGCGGTGTAGAGGACAAGGACAGTGAGGGACTCTCCAGGGCTCCCATGTCATCTGCCCTCTCCCCAACAGTGTTCTGAGGAGTCTGGGGAGCGAGGGGACAGTGGGACATGTATTTTAATAGCATAAGCAAAGGTCCTCCTCCTGGGAGCAGGGAAATCCCCAGAGAGGGGCCCAGGTGTTAGAAAGGCCAGTTGCCCAGCGTCCTCTGGCCTGCAACTTCACCAAGCCCAGGCCAAGTTCCCTCAGTGAGGGAAGGACTATGATCTTGCTCTCAACCGTCACAGGCCACCTCCTGGGGGGGACCCAGAGCTCCCAGGGGATAGGGACAGGCTGGGAACAGGGATGAGCTGGGGTCAGGGTCTGCCTACCACAGCTGCCAGCTTCCTCGGGTCCCGGTGCCTCCGCCCAGCAGTGTTTGGGATACCGGGCAACCGCACGTTTCCCGTCCAGCTCCCTGGGGCCTCTCCCTGCTTCTTGCGTTGCTGTTGCCGCCGTCGCCGCTGCTGGGTGACCTCAGCTGGTGCGGGTGGCTCTTCCTCAGGAGCCCAGGGGTCCTCCTCTGGCCCTAGCTGCTCGCTGGACTTCTCAGAGGCCCAGATGGTAGAAAGCCGCCTCCTTTGGACGGGGGACGGCAGGTCCCAGGAAGAGTGTGTGGATAGCAGGGACCCGTCGTTGGGGCCCTCTCCCCGGCGGTAGGGGACACGGCCCAGGGGGCTCCTGTGCTGGGGAAGGAAGCCTTCCTCGGGGGTGCTGTGCTTCGGCACCACCCCCGAGGACATCCGTCTGGGCACCGAAGGCCGGCCCTCGTCCTCAGAGGAGCTCCACTCAGAAACCTGTCAAAACAGAGCGCAGAGGTGGCCTCCTGGGGACAGGAAGTGGGCACAGGGGGAGGGCAGGGAGCTAAGCCAGGGGATGGTCACCGAACCCCTAAGGCACAGGTGGCAAACACAAGGCTCTGCTGGCCGAATCCGGCCTCCACCTTATTTTATCTGGCCTGGCACCTTGTTTCTACCTGGTGGCAGTGCCCAGCTCCTTGCCCCTAGTTAAGGAGTAGTTACATGTATACAGTCCTAAAATTACATTCGGTCCTTTAAAGGCAATTGTGAGGCTGATGTTGCCCCCGGTGAAAATGAGTTTGATGCCCCTGCCCTAAGGAAAGGATTTTTTATAAATGTTTTTGGGGAAGAAAAGTAGAACCCTTGTGAATGAGATCAGCTTAACATTTAACCTCAACCTGAAAAGGTGACAATGAGGACACACACTGCAGGTGTCTGTCTGAATGTCCATCTGTTGGTCAGAGAAGTCCCTTCGGGAAGCTGAGTGTCCTCCGGGGGAGTGGCCCGAGTGGGGCCAAGGGGAGGGGACCTGCCTGCAGCGCTGCTCCCAGGGGCATGAGGCCGAGTCCCTTCCCTTCTCACAGACCTGCTCTGCACTGCTCAGCTCTGCCTATGCAGCACTGGGCTGGTTGCATGCCGGCCCCAGGACACATCCCCAGCGGGGTGGGAGGCAGTGTCCTGAGAGCTCACAGACACACTGGGACACGCCAGCAGGGAAGGGCTGTCTCGGTCCACACCGAGCTGACCGGCCAGCCAGTCGGGGAAAAACCCAGAATGAGAGTGAGCCCACATCCCTGCCTCGTGCGGTATCCTAAAGTAAGTGGTGGGGCTGGCATACTGGACTTTTTAAAACACTCGCAGGTTACTCAGAAAAAGAGAATTTAAAAAATCGTACACCACGTCACCTACCAAGAAGATTCCAAGGATATGAGACTTGAAGGTAAAAACAGAGGCGTGAACATGTGGGGTAGAAATATGGGTGATTGCTCCGTCAACACGTCAAAGTCAGCTTTCTGATGGAAACCCCAACACGGAAGCCATGAAAGAGAACAGCTGCATATAATTAAAAACACCCCCGTGAAGCAAAGTGGGAGAGTGCCACTTGGGAAGAGAAGGAAGACAAACCGAGGCTCCCACAGAACCAAAGGAGGGGCCCGGCTGCCTCCGGCCGCGCCCAGCTGCCGTCGACCCCGCAGGGACCCTGCACTGTTTCTCAGCTGTGGCGTTTCTAAAAATCATAAGAGCTCCACGTTTTGGGTAGACTTCTCGGGAAAACCGAGGAAAGATAAGAATCTGAAGAAATTGTAGAAGCAGCTCCAAAAGGATGTTTTCTGACCAGCGGGGCGTTGCCTGGGGCCTGTTTCTCGCCGATTCACAGGTGAAAAAGGAAAAGGTGCCCTGCTCTGGCCCAGACCCCAAAGCCCGGACCCATGGGTGGGGATGGGGGTCCCTCCCGGCGGGGCCGAGGCTTGGGGCGAAAGGTCGGTTCTGGCCTTCACCTGCCAGCCGTTATCTAGTTCTGTGCCTGCCTCTCGCTTCGAACCCGCGCCTCAGGACGGGGGGGGGGGGGGGGGTGGTTTCTGGACAGCCGGTCCGGTAACGGCACGCGCGGAGCCCGACCTGGACGGACCTGGCTCCCCCGCCCGCCCGTCCACCCGCGACCCTCGGGACCCACCTGCACCCCAGGCTCCATTCCGCTCCCCGTGGCGACGACCACCTCCCCGCAAACCTGGCGCCCCGAAGTCCCCGCGGCGTCCGCGAAGCAGGTCGGTGCAGGCGCGCTGAGGCTCACCTGGGCGCGACTTGCACCTGTCGAGCCCCGTGGCCGCGCAGGCGCAGAAGGCGCGGGGCGGGGCCGCGAGCCTGGAGGTTCTGCACCTGGCGGGTCCCCTTTTGACTCAAGTGTGTGTGTCCGGCCGCAGGGAGTCAGGATGCCCGTGGACCCTCAACGCGAGCCACAGTTTTGCACTCTCGGTGGGCTCCGCAGTCTTGTCATCACCCGATCCGGAAAGGGCTGGAGGTCGTCACCCCAACTCAACCCCCAAGGCCGTGGAGGCCAAGACGTCCTGGCCACGTTCTGAGGGCAGCGCCAGGGCAGGGCGGTCGAACGCACCGCTGCGTCCCAGCCTCCCTTCTGAGGGTCTCAAGTTCAAGCCGATGGGGCCCCCCCGCAGGGCCTGTGGGAGCTCATCCGGCCCAGCTCCCTGTCTGCCTGTGGACCAGACCAGACCAACGTGGGGGCATCAGGGGTGGGCGTGGGGGCGTGCTCCCAGGTGCCCAGCATTAAAGCCCCTGAATGGTAGGGCCCTCCCCGCAGGAGCATGTGGGGGCGGGGGCGGGGCCGGAGCGAGAAGACGCAGAGAGGCCGCCGGCTGTGCACGCTGCTACTCCCAGGTCCCTCCCTGTGTCCCCATTTCAGTGACGGGATGGGGGAGCCCAGAGCAGGGCAGGGCAGGGCTGATCAAGGTCACGTCTTCTTGGGACCTGGCCGACCTGGCCGAGCACCCAGACTGTCTGCCCCTCTAAGTCCCTGAGCGCCCCAGTCCTGGCTACTCTCTAGTGTGAGAAAAAGCGATTTAAGACCAGAACTTGGCCATGAAGAGACCATGTGATTTGGGCAGAGGGGTCTCGTGTCCCTGCTCTCTCCTCTCTGTGAGTCCAGCCACATCCGAGTTGCTATCCCCATCCTTGAAGACCGAATCCTGGCCGACTGAGGCTCAGGGGAGGCTAGACAGCAGGGGGCCCTGAGCACTGTCCTGTCCAGTTAGCAGGGCGGCCCGGCCTGTGTGCGCCCGCTCCAGGGACAGGGAGCCTCCCACCCCTCTGTCTGGGCTCAGTGGGGCGGGGCACAACCCTTCTGACTGCAGGTCACTGGGGGCCCAACACTTGAAGGCGTGCAAGGCCTGTGAAGGGGGGGCCCCACATACGGGGTGGGGGTGTCAGGAGTTGACAGCCCCCCTCATTTCTGGCCTCTGCCTGCCCCGGAGGCAGCATTACCTTTAAGAGCCCACTGGTACCTGTGCACAGAGCAGGAGACGCATGCTGATTCAACACCTCTGGGTTTGTGCAAGGGCAGGACACTCTGCCACCACTCGTGTGTGTGCTCACGTGCGTGTTTGCATGCACACCCATGTAGGTGTGTGCCTGCAGGTGCACGCTTACAGGCCAGAGGTCCATGATGTTAAAGGACAACAGGCTGTACAGGTGACAGTCTAGTGTGATGTCATTTAAAAAGTTACACACACACCACACATGCGCAGCACAGGCACACGCAGACCCACACGTCCAGAAAGGGACTGCAGGGACTGGTAGCACTGGGAATATCTAGGTGGTGGAATGATGGGCAAATTTTAACATCACCTACATCCATTTCACTCTTTCTAAAAGGCAAGTGCTCACCAGGACAAGAAAAAATAGCCCACATCAAAGCTCCAATCAAAGCTCCAGAAAAAACACAACTAAGCCATGAAGAGATAGCCAACCTAACAGATGCACAGTTCAAATCACTGATAAGCAGCATGCTCACAGAACTGGTTGAGTATCATTGCAAAATAGAGGAAAAAGTGAAGGCTATGAAAAGTGTAATAAAGGAAAATGTACAGGGAACCAAGGACTCAAGTCAAAGGTTTTGACTGGAAGGAAGAAAGAAACATTCGATCAGAACAGAATGACGAAACAAGAATTTTTAAAAAATGAGGAGAGGATTAGGAATCTCCAGGACAATTTTAGAGATTTCAACATCCAAATCATGGGGGTGCCAGAAGGAGAAGAGGAAGAGCAAGAAACTGAAAACTTACCTGAAAAAATAATGAAGGAGAACTACTCCCATCTGGCAAAGGAAATAGACTTTCAAGAAGTCTAGGAAGCTTAGAGAGTCCCAAAGAAGTTGGACCCAAGGAAACACACACCAAGCCACATCATAATTACATTACCCAAGATCAAAGATAAGGAGACAATCTTAAAAGCAGCAAGAGAAAAGGAGACAGTTACCTATGAAGGAGTTCCCATAAAACTATCATCAGCTGATTTCTCAAAAAGAAACTTTATAGGCAAGAAGGGGCTGGAAAAAAGTATTCAAAGTCATGAAAGGCAAGGACCTCCATCCAAGTTTACTCTATCCAGCAAAGCTTTCATTTAGAATGGAAGGGCAGATAAAGTGCTTCCCAGATAAGGTCAAGTTAAAGGAGTTCATCAGCACTAAATCTTTATTATATGAAGTATTAAAGAGATTTATCTAAGAAAAAGAAGATCAAAACTGTGAACAGTAAAATGACAGCAAACTCAAAACTATCAACTGAAACTAAGAATAAACAAAACCAAACTAAGCAAACAACTAGAACAGGAACAGAATCAGAGAAATGGAGATCACATGGAGGGTTATCAGTGGGGAAGGGATGAGGAGGGCAGAATAGTGGGGAAAGGTGCAGGGAAGAAGCAGCATAATTGGTAGGCATAAAATAGACGGGGAGAGGTAAAAATGGTATAGGAAACAGAATTCAAAGAACTTATATGAACAACCCATGGACATGAACTAAAGAGGGGGGATGCTGGAGGGTTGGGGGTGCGGGGCAGAGGGGGGATAAAGGGAGAAAATTGGGAAAACTGTAATAGCATAATTAATAAAATATACTTAAAAAGGGAAAAGTGCAAAAATGTGCTCACTAAAGACACACTCACGAATGTTCACAGCAGCCGGTTTACAATAGCCTTACGCTGGAATCCCCCAACTAGCCACCAACAGTAGGATGGGCCCTGGTATATTATACAGTGCAATGCTGTCTAGCAGCGATTTGCCGGAAGGCAGGTTTGCCCGCTAACCAACATTTGGCAATGCTTGGACACAGTTTTGATTGTCACAACTAGGGCAGCATAAGGCACTGGCATCTAGTGGGTAAAGACCAAGGATGCTGCTAAACAATAAGAAAAACAAGAAATTGCAGTTAGTAAAGAATAAATAAAAAAAATAGAGCCCTGGCTGGTGTAGCTCAGTGGATTGAGCACCGGCCTGCGAACCAAAGGGTTGCTAATTCGACTCCCAGTGAGGGCACATGCCTGAGTTGCGGGCCAGGTCCCCAGTAGGGGGCGCACCAGAGAAAACCACACATGGATGTCTCCCTCCCTTCCCTTCTGTCTAAAAATAAATAAATAAAATCTTTAAAAAATAGAGCTTGCCAGGCCCAGCCTGTCATTTTCCAAATGAAAAATCTTGGGCAGCAGAGGGGACACTTTGTCCAAGGTCCTAGAGCCCGTCAGGTGGGGGCGGCCTGGACATGGTCCCGGTGTCCTGTTTTCTCGCAGCGCCAGGCCGCCCCAGGGTGTTCTGACCCCGTCCCCGACCTCCTGGCACGCAGGTGCTCTGAGTGCATTGACGGCTCTTCTGTTTGTGTTTGTGAGCGGAAACATTGTGAAACCTGCTGCGTGTGTCTGTAGTCACATTCGTCTGGCACACAGTGTCGCCTGCCACCAGGCCCCTCCCCACCGCATGGGGCAGCCCTCTGGGGAGAAGGCGGGGGTCTGGGTGCGGGGCCCCTCGGGGGCTCCGGGCGCGGTCTGTGGCAGGAGCTGGCCCCACGCCTTCCTGGATGTTAAAGGAGGAAAGTTTACCACCGCTGCCCATCTTCCAGAGTGCAGGAGCGGAGGGCACGCTCTCCAGGGCCCTCTGTGAGGCCGTCATCACCCTGACGCCGAAGACAAATGAAGGCACCGCGGGAATAAAAAAAGTGCAGCTCAGCACCTCTCATGAACACAGACACAACACACTCAACAAAGTGTCCACAGCTCAAGCCCCCCAGCGTACGGAAACACTTATATGCCGTGACCACCTGGGACTCGCCCCAGGTACCCAAGGCAGGCTCAGCACTCAAAGGTCACTTAACAGGCCCCATCCTGTGAACAGGTGAGAAAATGTCATGTGAGTGCATCAAGAGATGTGGAAAAAGCATTGAAAAAAATCCAACATCCATTCATGATGAAAACTGTCAGAACACTAGGGATCTAGGGGAAGTTCCTCAGGACTCGGTGAAGAACATCTGCAAGGGGCCTCGGCCACATCAGACCTGCCGGCGAGAAGCGTGAAGCTTCCCTCGCTGAGCTCGGAATGGGGTGAGGATGTTGCGGCCGCGTTTGGCTTTGTGCTGCGAGTCCCAGCGAGGCCGCGGACACGACAAGAAAATGAAAGGTGCACAGACGGGGAGAAAGGATGAGAGCTGTGTTCGCGTGCAGGTGCCTTGGTGGTCTGTGTGAGAAGTCGGGGAGAATCCACGGAGAACCTGCGGGAACTGAGGTGGCCCTGCAAGGCTGAAGGGGACAAAGCTAATACACAGAGTCTGTCCCTTCTGGATGGGCTGGCAATGAATGAGTGGATTTGAAACAAAAAACGAACATATGACCGTTTACAGGAGCACTCCCACATGAAAAACTGGTGTGTAAATACAACAAAATGTGCATGAGATCCATCTGAGGGAAGCGCGTCTAAACATGAAAGAAGAACTGAACACATGGAGAGGTCTTCATGATCGTGGGCAGGAAGACTCAGTACGGCCGGGATGCCGGTTCTTCCCAAACTGGTCGATAGATTTAACGCGACCCCCATCAAAATCCCAGCAAGGTGTCTTATCGATGTTGACAACGGGTCCTAAAGTTTCTATGGAGGCGAAAGACCCAGAAGGGTAGGGTCCACATGATGTTGATGAAAAACAAAGCTGAAGGACTGAGACTGTCTGACTTCAAGACTTAGTGTAAATCTATAGTAAATAATAGAAAATTCTCCAGCATGGAGTGTGGTATATAATGAATCATGAGACAAATAGACCCATGGGGTGGTTTGGGGAGCCCAGAAAGAGACCCCATAAATATTGTTAATTGATCTTGAGTAAAGGAGTAAAGACAATACAATATAGTCAGACAGTTTCTTAATAAAGGTTGCTGGAACAAGTGGGCATGCAAAGGAAAGAATCTTCAGCCCCTGCTGGTGTGGCTCAGGGGACTGAGTGCTGGCCTGGGAATCCATCAAAAGGTCGTCGGTTTGTTTTCCCAGTCAGGGCACAGGCCTGGGTTGTGGGCTGGGTCCCCAGTAGGGGGCGTGCGAGAGGCAACCACACAGTGATGTTTCTCTACCTCTCTTTTGCCCTCCCCCTTTCTCTAAAACTAAAATCTTAAAAAAAATTATGTTTAAAAAATTTTCACACAGGCCTTTGTAAAAGTTAACTCAGAACTAAATGGAAGCTGTGAGACGTTAAACTCCTAGCAGATCGGCTAGGAGGAAACCGAGGCAACCTTGGGCGTGACGATGGCATTTTCAATGCAGCGCCAACCACATACTCCATTTATAAGCCGGCTTCAGTAAAACCACAACCTTTTGATCTGAGAAGGAAAATGTAACAAGAGTGAGGAGACAAACCCCGACCAGAGGAGATATTTGCTGAAGTCACATCCGAATATTAACCGACATGCCAAAAAATTCTCAAAACTCAAAAATAGAAAAACACACAACCTGACCGATAAATGGCCGAAAACCCTAACAGACACGTCCCCAGAGAAGATACACAGAGGGCACAAAGCCAAATCCAGACTCGGACCTCGAAGGTGGCAGGTGGGGAGCTGATAGGACTCTTGTGCCTTTGTGGCGGCCACGCCCTGTGAGGTGGCTGGTGATGTGCCCTGGATGCTCCTCGAGGGACCAACGACTGCAGTGAAGGGGGCCCCTCCCCTTTTTATTTTATTTTATCCTCACCTGAGGACGGTTTTTTCATTGCTTTAGGAAGGGTGGGGGAGGGAGAGAGGGAAACATTGATGTGAGAGAAAAGCATTGATTGGTTGCCTCCTGTGTGCACCTGGACCGGGAATCGAACCTGCAACCTTTTGGCTATGGGACGATGACCCATCAGCAGAGCCACGCTGACCAGGGATGATCTCTTCAGTGTAGGAGACTCTTTCTCCCTTTGATGTAGGAGGCTGGCTGTCCCCGCTTTTGGGGCCAGGTCTTTGCCCACCTCATCCCCTCACCCCTGTGCCTGGTGGGCACACCACAGCCGAAGGTGGGTGGGCAGGGGTCCTGCTGCCCCAGGCTGGTCTGCCGAGGCTTGACGAGGGGCCCTGATGTTTGGGGGCAGATGGGGCCGTGGACACATTCAGGGTCTGTGCTGTGCTGACGTGACAGGAGCTACGTGATTTTTCCACTTTGGCGTGAGGCTGTGTGTGACTTTGGTCTTGGGGGGCAGACTGGCCTTGGGGCAAGAGATGTCATCCACCGTCAGCCCAGGAGCAGCGCAGCCAAACATAGTTTTGTTTTCTCCCCTGGTTAAAAGCAACTTCCCTTGGAGGGGGGTTCCCCTGGGTTGCAGCATTCTCTCCCTTTGAAAGTCCGCCTTTGCCCTTGACCCCGGCATCGTTTTCCAGAGTGCGGATTGCCTAATTTTCCACTGCCTGTGAGGGAGCAGCAGGCCGTGGAGGCAGGGCTGGCAGTGGTGGGCTAAGGCAGGCCCCACAGGGTCTCAGCCCCCAGGGAGCCCTGCCTCCGCTAGGAGTTGTGGGGCCTGCGCAGGCTCACTGTGCCTGGAGGGTGCTGCCCCCATTTCCCAGGTCAGGAGACTGAGGCCTTGGGGCGCTGGATCTAGGTGCTGGCCCAGGCACTCCTGCTAGGACCCACCTGGGGCTCCTATCCTGGGCTCACTCCTCAGCGACTGCACTGAAGTGGCTGCACCCCCTTGGGCGGCATCAGGGGCTGCCTGGGCTTCGTCCTTGGCTTTTCTGAGCAGGGACAGTGGTTTCCTTCCTCTGCCGTGGGTCCCCCGGGGGCAGGAGGTGTCTGGGTCTCCGAGGCTCCGGGAGGACACAGTCAATGGGACACAAGGCCCACATGCCCCACTCCCTGAAAACCTCCCCTGGGGACTCCCCTGCCCCCCAGTGCACCCCGACTGCCCCTGAGCTCGAAGGCACAGGCCCCCACCTTGGACACCAGCAAGCTCAGGGTGGGGAAAGCTGGTGGCTCATCCCTGCCTCCTGAGAGGGGCCTGGGTGGGGGTCCCCGGCCCCCCAGGCAAGTGCAGTTTTCGGTCAGTCCAAACAGGGGTCCCCGCTCTCTGGACCTGTCTGAGGTGCCCAGCTCTCAGACTCCACTGGGTGCTCACATGGGAGGGGGTCTGCCAGCGCCTCAAGCACGGTGCTGGGTGGGGCAACTGAGAGCCCCCAGCCCCATGGGAAATGCAGGCCACCTGCCGCAGGCGTAAGTAGCTCTGCAGTGCAGCCCTGACCCAGCCCAGCCCGGCTTTGGGATGCAGAGGGGCCCCTCAGCCCACCCGGGAGTCACCGAAAAGGCCTCTCAGAGAGGAGGACGTCCAGTGATGGGGTGCACGGGGCAGAGGGAGCTCTGGGTGTCCCTGAGCCTTCAGGGACTTCGAGTGATGGAGTGAGGGACAGACCTGGGCGACAGGGAGACAGGGGACAGGGATGCCGAGGCTGGACGCTGAGCAGGAGTCCACAGGACTGGGTTTAGGGGGCCACGGTATAGCTCCAGGGCAGGAGACTACAATGGGGTGGGGGTCACCCTGTCCCCCACTGCAGGTGGCCCTGGGAGCAGGACCCCAGGGGCCTGGGTTCAGGATGGACCCAGAAATGACCACAACCTCAACCACCTTCCTGTCACTCAGGCCACTGACCCCACCGGAGAGATGGACAGGTGGCCCATGGACCACCAGGAAGGGTCCCTCCTTTTGCATGTGCGGTCAGAGAAGGGAGCAGTAGGGCCAGATTTGGGGCCATGTGTCTTGCTGCTGTATGAAGCAAGCAATGGATACACTGGCCATCGGCCCTGGACAGGGGGTCCCACTGTGTGAGGGGGACAGGAGAGACCCGGAGGAGGGGGGCCGAGACCTCCTGGGCCCGTGTACGAGTGAGTGACGGACCAGCAGGCGCACGGTGGGCGGCCCTGCTGCTGTTAAGAGGACGGTTTCTGGGCGACGTTGACTTTACACTGAGGAGGTGGGGGGCAGGGCGGGGACTTAGGGTATGGTCTTCTGGAACCAAAGCCACCCAGGGACTCACGGCAGGCCCTGCGCCGCCCTGGCAGAAAGCATCAGTGCATGCCTCAGCCGACACTGGCCTTTGCTCTGGAAAAATAGTGACGAACATGACCCTGGACTTCCAACTGTATCCCTTTCTCGACCTTGTTTTGGTTGTTGCAGGGGAGAGGGTGTGACGTGCTGTTGACGAGCCCAGGGCCCAGGTGGCCGTGGCCGGGAAAGGAGCTGGGTCCTTCCCGGGACTGACGATTGGAGCACCTGGTTGCACAGAATGTGCTCGTTCACTGGACAATGCAAACCCTGGAGGCTCGGGGCATGTGCGGGGGGCAGGGGGGCAGGGGGGCAGCAGCCTCGGCTCTGTCTCCTCGTTTCACACCCTCCCACTGCGGGGCACCCATGTCAGTTTCTCACACGTTCTTCTGGAGTTTTAATTCGTCTGCCACAGAAGTGACACATGCTTTCCCATCGCCTGTCGAGCACACACCTGGAGGTTCTCCCAGACGTGTGGGACAAGCCGGGAGACTCCTTTGTCAATCAGGGCAGGGCCGCCTGCTTTCAGGGGCTGGGCTGGTGAGCCCCTGCCGCTCTCAGGGGTGGGTGCGGTGGGGCCACTCCTCACTGTCTTGGAAAGCACAGTGACATTTTCTCACAGCCCAGGAGAATATCCAAGAACTGGGAATTTTGACTAAAGAGAAGGCCTTGCTGTTTGATTCCTGATGAGCCTTCCGTCTGAGCTGCACAGTCAGGGGCAGTTTGGGGTCTGGGTGCCGCTCTGCAGCCTGGGCCCCTGTCCTCAGGCCCTCCATCCTTCCTGGGCAGCCTGTCCATCCTTCCTTCCTCCCTCCTGGGCAGGGCCGGGAGACTGAGCGTGGTGGGCTGGGGACAGCTTCCTGCAGAAGGAAAGTGCTTCTGGGCTTGGCCCCCGAGAACAGCCAGGCCCGCAGATGCCTCGGTCCTCCTCTGCTCTCCCTGAGCCTCATTTTCCCACTTGAATCTGGGGTGAGGGGTGAGGGCGGGGGTATTCCCTTGGCTCTATCTCTGGGTTGGGCTCCTGAACAAAACAACATCGTCCTCCTCCACCTGGCTGGGTGCTCCTGGTTGGACCTGTACTCTGGCCCAAGGTGGGAAGGAACCCACAACAGGACAAACAGTCTGAAACCTGCACGCAGACCCTCCTTCCGCCCACGCTTGGCACCGGGCCTTGAGCACAGGAGCAAAACAAACTTATTTTGAAAACAGTCCTCTAGCACGCCGCTCTGCCAATCATTAACCTCTGGGGACAGGTGACCCAGCCCGTGCCCTTCATAAGGCGTGCGCTGTACCCAGCAAGCAGCCAGCTCCCAGCGAGCAGCGATCACCGGTCCTTGTCTGCCTCCGCCCAGTGAGCAGCCAGCAGTGATCACAAGCCCCTGTCCGCTATCCGGCCGAACGATGCCTGTGCTCCCCGCCATCCGCATCTGGCCGCTGCTCCTCCTGTTGGCCGTCCGGCTTGGCGTGGCCGTCGGCGCTCCCCAGCCCTGGCGTTGCGCACCCTGCTCGGCTGAGAGACTTGCGCTCTGTCCGCCCCTGCCCGCCTCCTGCTCTGAGCCCGCCCGGCCTGCCGGCTGCGGCTGCTGCCCGATGTGCGCCCTGCCTCTGGGCGCTGCCTGCGGAGTGGCCACGGCGCGCTGCGCCAGCGGACTCAGCTGCCGAGCTCTGCCTGGGGAGCCTCGACCCCTGTACGCCCTCACCCGTGGCCAGGGCGCCTGCATGCCTGAATCTGACAACACCGCGCTCAGTGCAGAGGCCACAGGTACCTCGGCCCCTTCACCTGGTCCCCTCCCCCGGGACAGCTGAGCAGGCCTGGGGCTCCACCGAAGCCTGTAGCCAGTAGGGTGCAAACAGCCCAGGCCCAGGGCTTGGGGCTGAAGCCTGTAAGGTGCCCCATCATTACATGGCCCTGCGGGAGTTGCCCAGGGGCAGGGAGGGGAGATGGGGAGAAAGCCCAGAGCTCGCAGCCCACCCAGTGGTAAGCGTGGGCAGAGGCAGTGGGCTGCCCCCAGGGTCCCTGGTCCCCCTCTCTGTGGGGCATGGGCAGCTGGGGCTGGGAACCCCTCCTGCCGCCCCGCTCCCTCCCAGTGTTTGGAATGTCCTTTGTAATATACGTCCTGTGGAGACAGCCTGTGCTTCCCCGATGTTTACAGAACATAATGTGAGAGTGTAGGCTGCAGCGTTTGATGTGCCTGGGCCATTCAGAGCCTGGCCCTCAGGCCCCTTCCTGGAGGCGGCGGGACTCGGTGGTGTGGGAAACAGGAAGGGCCGCCTGCCCCCACTCCCCACCTCTAGGCCCCACGGCGGTCCCTGCGGAGGGGACCAGGGGACGAGGGGCCTTCCTGCGGGTTTCGTGCCCAGAGTGGAGGAGACGGGGCCGTCCTCCCCGTGGCCCTTGAAGGCGAGGGCTCCGCCAGGCTCCCTCAAGAGGGCCAGTTCTAAGACACTCTGTTGGGCGCCCATTCCCAACCCCCGAGATCTTCAAGACAGCTGCTGACCCTCCCCCTCATGGGGGCGTCGGGGGAGGCAGAGCGCCTGGGATAGAAGGGGGACAGCCGCCAGGTAGACCCTGTCCCCAACAGCCCAGCACCAGCCCAGGTGGAATTTTGGAATCGCTCCCGCATGAACGGGGAGCTGAGGGCGGGGGCCAGGATGCACCCTCATCTGCGGCTTCCTCCCGGCTCTCCCCCCTGGTGCGGTGCCCGAGCCTGCCTCTCCCCGGCCCCAGGCTGAGAGCCCCAGGGTGCCCTTGCTGGACCCGAGGCTCTGCATCTTCCCAGAGCAGACGGGTGTCGCTCCCCCCAGAAGCCATCTGGGGAAGGGAAGCCCCTTGGGGGGGGGGGCAGGTGCGTACATGGCAGGAGGGCTGACCCGCCTCTGCTGTTCCGTTTTCAGACGCCGAGGGCCCCGCGGCCCGGGAGACCGTGTCCCCTGATGACCCAGGAGCAGCTGAGATGACCCAGGAGAGGCTGCTGGGCATTTCGCACCCAGTGGCGCCCTCTGGCGAGGACCCGCCCGTGCCCCGAAGGACCCTCAGTGACCAGGAAAGTGTGAGGGCGCACGGGGGCACCGACGTCCAGCAGTGGAAGGTGAGGTGGGGTCAGTGCCGCCTGGGGGCCCTCAGGGCCGGCAGACATTGCTCAGCTTAGCCCAGCCCAGCCTCCGAGGCCGGGACCGTCCGCCGACTCTCCCGGAGACGGAAGGGAAGGGCAGCGCCTCCCTGGTGCGCGCGGCCGCGTCACCTCGTGCCTCCAAGTCAGGGCACCGGGCGACACTCTGGACTGAGCGCTGAGTTGTCCCTTCCACCGCCCAGCCCAGGACTCCCCCTCCCTCGCCCGCAGCCCTTCCCCCACCCCGTTAAAGATGGTCGTAAAATATACCCAACACAAAAATCCAGCATTTTCGCCATCTTGAAGCATAAAGTGCCGCCACAGTTGACACATTCACAGTTTTCTGACACCGTCGCTGCGGCCCGTCTTCAGAACTTGACCTTCCCAGACGGAAACCGCCCGCCCAGTGATTCCCCTCAGCATCTTCAGTGCCGCCCGGTTCTAATTCCGCCGCGCGAGGGCGACAAAGAGCCACAGCTGGGGTTGCTGGGGCTGATTTGGGGGGAAAAAGCTATCATTCCCCCAGGGGCACACCCAGAAAAGGGAGGGGCTGGGCCACCTTCCAGCCGTGCCAAAATCTCACCTGAACGTGATGTCCAGTGAGGAAAAGTTCACTCTTAACCCCCAGGCAAACGCCCCCCCCCTCACGTGATGGCTCACGGGAACTAGCAGTGGGGGCAATGGCACCATTGTCAGTGGCTAGAAATCTCTGCTGCTAAAGTCTCTATTCTGCCCTCCCTCCCGCCAGGCAGCTGGGGCCACACTTGCCCGCGGCAGGGAGAGAGCGTGGAGAAGCCCTCGGCTCCCATGGGGGTCCAGGGGTGCTCGGTGCCAGTGGGCATGGGGCACCAACCTTCATCTTCACACCCCCCCCCAACAGAGCCCAGCTGCCTTCCCACAGCAGGTGGGCGGGAGGAGGCGGCTGGTCTCCCCCTCGGGCACAAAGCCCCTCTTTCTCAGCCACCTGGCTGGGCCCTGGTGTTTCTAGTCAAGTATCCAAACCCAACCACTCTTCCAGGGGCCGTGCGGGCAGGAGCTGCACAGTGTGCTGGAGAGGCTGGCCCAGGAGCAGCAGGAGGCCAGAGGCGGGCCCTACAAGTTTTACCTGCCCAACTGCAACAAGAATGGGTTCTATCACAGCAAACAGGTGCGTGTCCTTGCCGAGGGGGTCCCACCCCCGCAAAGCTGCCCTTCCCTCACACACGGTGTCCAGCCCCAGGCACGCTCCCGAAAGCCCCATAGCTGGTCCTAAGAAGTGAGGTCCAGCCCGCTGGCTCCAGGAGCCGGCAGCCCAGGCACACCTGGGCTCTGCTTAGGAAATTTAGTATCTGTTTGACTTCCGTTACTTTTTTCTCCCCGTGAAGGGGAAGGACTCTATAATTAAACACAGGAGCATTTCTCGACTTGCCCAATTATAAAGGAGCTCGAACTAACCGAGACTCCATGTGAGGGGCCCTTGAGGCCTCAGCGAAGCACAGGGTGTTTAGGGGGGAAACTGAGGCCTAGGCCGAGCTTCATGACAAAAAGTCTGTGGCCCCTGCAGCCCTGCCCAGGGGGCGGGGAGCACGCCTATTCCCACGCATGTGGAATCCTTAACTCACTGGACACTCGACCTTAGCACCCATTTTATGAGGAGAACCAGGAGGGTGTTGGGTTTGCCGAGGCCACGGTCATGGCCAGTGGGTGGTGCCTGCGGCCTAAGCTCCCAAAGCCCGCTCTCCGCAAAGTGCTGGGCGGCGGGCGCTCCGTGGCTCCCTGCCGCGCTGGCTGCTCTGACCCCACGTCCCATCTTTGCAGTGCCAGACGTCCCTCGACGGAGAGGCAGGGCTCTGCTGGTGTGTGGACCCCCAGAGCGGGAGGAGGATCCTGGGGTCCGTGGAGGTCAGAGGGGACCCCAACTGCCAGCGGTATTTCCACTGAGCACGGAAGCAGCGCGGCCTCGTCCTCCGACCGACGGGGTGTTGAAGTGCACAACCTATTTATACTCCAGAAGACGCCCACTCATCTGTGTGTGTGTTTGTATATATAGGAGCCACGTTCATACTCCACATACTGCCTGGCATCTAAAGCTGCGGTTTATTTATTCACTGTAAGTTTATTTTTCTACACAGTAACTTGTGCTATATTAACTTATATTCATGAAACACTTTTCACCACGTTGTATGTAAATAGTTTTAGCTCTTTAAAGGTCCGTGCTTCCGTTTGTAAAGAACTGTGGAAAATCTTGCTCAGAAAACGCAGAATCAGATGTGTGGCTGTGCCTTTGTCAAGCTGTTCAGTGACTTACTCTGTGTGTTGCACCAAAGCCACTCAGTGTGAGCTTTCGGGGAACAGCTGATGATGCGATCACAGCAACATGTGCAGTGTTGCTGCACGTGAACACTTGCATTGGATACATTGTCAAACGCGCTTGCACAGTGTAAACAAATAAAGTCTTACTCAAAGCATTGTTACTGCCATGGACTTTTTAAAAAAATTATTTATGTTATTTTTAGAGGGAGGGAAAGGGAAGGAGAAAGAGAGGGAGAGAAACATCATTGTGTGGTTGCCTCTTGTGTGCCCCTTACTGGGGACCTGGCCCACAACCCAGGCATGTGCCCTGACTAGGAATCGAACCTGCGACCCTTTGCTTCGCAGCAACCCCCGCCCCCCTACCCTCAATCTACTGAGCAGCACCAGCCAGGCTGCCATGGGCTTTTGTGCACCCTCCTTTATGCATGCAGATCTGCCTCACAGAGGTCACTCCATGACCCATGGCTCCCACTGCCCAGCGGCGTCCCTCACCCCCAGGCTGGGTCCCCTTGCCACCTCCTGCTGCCCTAACTTGTCCGTTTGCCCAGTCCCTTCCACTTGTGGATTGGTCAGGGCTTCTCCTGTCTGATGCAAGACAGGACTCTCCTGAGTTGGCTCCCTCACCCTCTGCCTGTCCCCTGCAGGGCTGAGTGGCCTCCCCTAGGCGGGCACCTAGGGCACCTTCCCCTGCTGGGCCACCCCGCTGAGTGCACAGCTGAGCCCTGAGCCCCCGGCCTGTGTGCCTTGGATTCCTTCCTCCTTAAACGGTTACCTGCTTGCTTTTTCTAGCTCAGCCCCTGCCCTGGGTTGTTGGGGGGTGGGGGTGGGAAGCTGGAGACCCTAATCACCCGGGTCATCTCTCTGTTCTCACAGCCCCCCTGGCCTCCCCCTCCCCCTCCGACTGCTGGGCCACCCCCCAGGAGCGCCCTGTGAGCTCAGAGCTCCACGTCAGAACGCCTGAAGGACTCAGACACAATATCCTCAGAATCTGCTGTGAGCAAACTGACTCTGGCAACCCACGGAAATACCGTTCACCTTCCCAGATGAGAAGGCTCAGGTTCAGCCTGGGAACTGCTGGAAGTGCAGAGAAGGGGAGACAGAACAGGGTGCCCTCGGCATTCACACGACCAGCGTAGCGTGTCAGGTGCTTCCGCCCAGTTCTGTGTGTGGGAGTCGTGGACACGACACGATTGCGTCCTGCTCACTTTTTTCGCCCCGAGAATTCTCCCGTGTTACTAACATCAGAGACCAGGAGTTCCGTTGTCTCGGCCCAAACATCGGGTGCACTGCACACTGGAGGCCATGCCTGCCAGATGTGCGGAGCCTGACCAAAGGAGAAGGCATCTCTCTGGACCGGCTGTTCCTGGAGAAACCGTTTAGGGACACCCCATTGTGGCCACGATGTGCTGACTGGCAACCGGGCCCTGGAGTGGTGGTGCCTGCATGGCCTCGACCCAGTGCAGGGACAGTGCCTGGGACACACAGTGGGGGGATGACAGGTGCACCCTAGGGGAGCCCTGAGCGTCTAGCTGGGGGCCCAGGGCGGGCAATGGGGCGGGGGAGTCACGTGCAAGGCTCCGTGATCACTGGAGAGGACAGGAGCACGCTCAGCTGAGTGGCCATGGACGTGAGCCCACGGAGGCCGGCGTGCGGGGGGTGTGCAGTGTGTGTCTGGGAAGGCTAGTCGGGGCTCTGCTCCAGTTCCTGCCCCGATCCCCACACTGGCGGGCCCCCTGCAGTGCGCCGGCTCCTGCTCCCCCTGCTGGTTGCCCCCCTTCCTCTGACCTTACCACTTTGCAGGCGACCCCCACCTGCCCCCAGCACACACTGTGGTAAGGACCCAACTTAGACTCTTTGTTAAGGGTTCAGGAGGGACTCTAAACAGGTGTGACTCCTTGAAACAAAGTATGTCCTTCAATGCCCCAAAGTCACAGGGTCAGAGCCCCACCCTGTCCCTGGGCTCTCCCTCCTCCTCCTGCCCTTTTCCCTCCCGTGAGCAGAGACTGGGAGCGGAGGGCACCGGTCTGTGTAGTGCAGCCCTCTGTGCCTGCCAAGTGGTGACATACAGGACAGTGGGGACGAAACCCGGAACTCAGTGAGGGCCCTGGAGATGCACCTGCTGATGTGCCCCCCCAATGTGACCTGGTGGAGGCGCAGCCCTGGATTTACTGTGAGCTCCTCCCCGAAGGACCTCGGAGCTGGTCGCCGGCAGAGGGGGGGCTTCTTCATGGTAAAAATTTTATTGAGCAATTATAAATACATGGTGACACAAATTTTTCAAAAATACTTTTTTTGAAAAGGATTTAAAAAAAATAAAGAAAAGCTAATAGGTGGGCAGAATGTCTGGAGACCCCTCCGTCCAGATGAGGGGGCTGTGCACACCTCCCCCCCCCCTCCCGCCCAGGGCAGCTGCCGCTTAGAGCTTCCTGGGCTGTGGCTGGCTCTCATCTGAGATTCCCTTGTGGCACATTCGGGTCCTGTTGTATTGGGGCTATGAAACCCACACCGGTGACAGTTCATGAAGGAGCTTCTCAGCAAACCAGAAGGGAAATGGGGGCGACTCTGTGCCCCCCTTCGTCTCTGGCAAGACACAATCACTACCAGTTACATGGAGCGGGAGGTGGGGGGCAGATGGGAGGGGTGAACACAAACCTCCTTTGACTTTGATGAGCTTATCCTAAAAAATAACCTTGGTCTTGACTTTTTGAGTGAGAAAACACCATTTTCTGTTGTCATCTCAAGCATGGTGCTACTAGTGGGTCCCTCTGAAAATGAAGGGGTGGTGCTTGCCGCCCCGCCCCCCCAGCCATCCCCTGCCCTGAGGGGCCTCCAGCCAAGGCCGAGTCCTCAGGGGTCTGCCTGACGTGCCCACCTCTGCACGAGAACTTCCTTGGTCATTTTTAAACAATGCAAAAGACTTGGCCTCATTGTCCCCACTCTTTCCCAAGCAGGACAGGCCACCTGGGAACAGGAGGGACGCCGGGCTTTGCTCGCAGCGGGCACGTCCCGGTGTGCGGACACGGAGTGCAGGGCTGCTGTCCCAGAGGGCCGCAGCGTGCCCTGCCATGGCAGCAGGGACAAGGTTCGAGGTGAGGGTCTGCCACGGCAGCCCGCGTGGGGTCCAGACGGTGCGCCGCCTGGCTGCGCTGCACACACGTGTATAAGCAGGTTTGGAGAAGCAATAAGAAAAACCACACAGTTTCATTGGCTGCTGCAGTAAAGCAGAATGGGGAGCCACGCAAGGTCACCATGTAGAGCCCCAGGCATGTCAGGCATCTCTCTCTAAACTTGGATTAAAAAACAAAAACTTTGATTCACCACAAAAAGAAACATAAATCAAGGCTGTGGCCAGCTGCTGACTGTGTCTTTTGTGCAAAAAGGGCGCACTGGAGCTCCACACCAGCTGAAACAGAAAAGGCAGCATTGAACCACCTCCCCTGATGCCTGAGGCTGCGGCCGGGGCAGCCCCACTGGCCCCTGAGCGAGGCCCCAGGTGCCCCGAAACTAGTCACTCTCTCTGACTTGCAAGGAAAGAAAATGTAACTAAAGGTGCAGTTTTCTTCTGTGCACTACATTTGCCTTGGGGAGACTAAACATATTGGTCTTTTCCCCACCAGTAGCTCCCTCGCTTACGAGGACGGAATGGTGAGTGAGACAGCATGCTTCCAAAGGACGGTCTGAAATCTCCTCGTGTGTGTTAGATTTAAATAAACTTTGCTAACATTCTGCAAACCACAGATGATTAGATTATCCGTGAGGAATCTTACAGGGGAAAAAACCACGCATCTTTAATGCAGACTCGTGCTCCTTAACAGGTCCTGGGGATTAAAAGCATTACCTGGGAAGGTGGAGGAACCATGGGGCTCGAAGGGAGAAGCTGAACTCCGAGGGCCTCCCCCTGAACATGTGTGTGTGTGTGTGTGAGATGCGTTCTCGGTTCTCCGTGACCATGAGAAGTGTTTTGAAACAGGTGGGCCGTGGACCCTCGTCCTGCTCTTGTTTAGTTGGGTCGGGGCCCCCTCGCCTTCCTCAGGGGTCCGCCCTGTGTCCATCTCCTGCCCACAGCCCTGCCCCTTTGGAGAGGGACAGTCGGGCAGGTGCCCCCACCCCAGCCACGGGCCCCGCTTACGTGGCCACATCACTTGCTCTCCGCGCCGTCACACTGCACGTCCCCTTTGCCCTTCGCACTGTAGCCCGGGAGGGGCTGCCCGTACTTGTCCACGCACCAGCAGAAGCCGCGCTTCCTGCCTTTGGAGGGGCGGCACTGTGGACCGAGAGAGAAGGTGGCGTCAGCTCCAGGGGCTCCTGCGTGGGGCCCTGACACCTGACACACGGGGAGGTGGTCTGGCCCCTGTGCGCTTTTGCAAGGGGGTTTTGTGTCCCCCAGGGTCTTGGGTAGTCACGGGACCTGGGTGCTGAAGGAGGGGATGACAGTGTCCCACCTGCCTTGTGCTTGTCACATCTGCCTGTCAGAGCTCACCCCACGCTGTGGGCACGCTGGGTCCCAGTGTGAGTTTACTGAGTAGTGACGGACAGAAAACAAGTGTGACACAGAGGCCAAGGACCCATGGCCACTGGCGAAGACAGGCCTGTGACAGGGGCCACCGTGACCGTGTGCTGTTCTGTGGCTAATTCTGCAGACACTCAGACAGCACGGTCCGGTGAGAGAGTGGACACTTGTCATTGTGACCTGTGGAGGGACTTGCTGTGGCTTCAAACACCTCCACCTGCAACGTGCCACTCCCAGGAGGGCTTGGCAGTGGGGCACAAGTCTCAGGGCAGCAGTGCCCTCAAGTCACTCTGTGGGGCTGCCCCACCATGCTCAACACCACTCCTGACGCAGTGCTAGGCAGGTGCTCATGGGGCTGTGGCGAGTGGGGGGGGGGGAGCCTGCAACACACTCACCTGCTTCTTCTTGTAGAAACCCCTCCTGTCGCAGTTGGGAATGTGTGCGCCCCTGGGACTCAGTGTGTTCAGGAACTTCAGGTGGCTCAACGTGTCCTCCATCTCCCGGCGGCAGGGCCCCTGGGGAAGGGTTGGGGCTGGTCACCCGGGGGCTTGGTCACCGGGGGCTTGGTTGCCTCATAAAGCCCCATCCACCCCGAGCCCTCCTAGCAGGACCTTCAAGGTGCCCTTCCAGTATCTGCTGCTGGACCCAGCTGTCGCTGCCCCCATGAGGGTGCCAACCATGGTGCCATCTCTCGTGTGTCCCCAGACAAGGCCTGCACCTGGGGACATAGTCCCTAAGGCCAGGACACTTAGAAGCCAGGTGGACAGAAGGAAGCCCATCTATGGGAATGTCTCTCTTTAGCTTGGAGGCCTGCGGCCAACCACACACTGTTACCAGCTGTGTTTGACCTGCGCCCCTGCGAGGTCTGCCCTGGGGCAGGGGCACCGTCAGGTCCCCATCTTGTACTTGAGGATCGATGGCAGCTGCCCCCACACACTGGACAGGGTGCACCCACGGGGCTCCTCAGTGAAGAGCAACTCGGCGCCCTATGGTGCCTGGGCGCCCCCCTCGCCGCCCGTCCCCACGAGGACAGGGGCTGGCACTCACGTGCTCCATCTCCCGCTCGGAGGAGAAGTTCTGGGTGTCCGTGCTCTGGGCCTCGTAGGTGACCTTGTAGCGCTGGCTGTCCTTGGCGTGCCCTTTCTTGATTGCGTCCATCTTGGTGTGGCCTGGGTGGAGCTTGGAGTCGGGGACCCGGTGTGTGCCGGGGAGCGCCGGGCTCCCAGCGGCTCCGGCGCTGTAGTCTTCCTCCGACTCACTGCTGTTTCCTGGAAAGATGCCAGAGGAGACAGTTGTAGCAGACTCTCAAAATCCAAGGATTAAGCCAAGTCACGTCTCAGTGGAAACATTATTCAACAACCCCAAGTATGTTCAAGAACACACCTCAATAAAGTGTTACCTGTCACACGAGTAGTGATGGTAGCGGCTTTACCTCAAGAAGCCTCTTTCAGAAATGAGCTCCCAGACAAGCTTTGAGTAGGTACCTATGCAGCGGGCTGGTGTCCCCTCCTCCATCAGGAGGGGGCAGAGCTGAGCACGGGCGACCGAGCCTGAGTCCGCAGTGCTGGGCTAGGGGGCCCTTCGGGAAGGGATTCCGACTGAAGCGCTGGCCCCCGAGGGCCGCCAGGCCGGGGGCTCGCTTTGCACCGTCAGCGCTTTGCTGCACGTCTGGGCTGGGGAGGCGTGTTTGCTGGTGTTGAAGGTCCCACCATCAGGGCTCTGACCCACTGTCACCCAGGGGCGCTGCTCCGACCCTGCGTTGGGGCACCTTCGCAGGTGAGTCCCTCCCCACCACGGGCGCGTGAGGGGCAGGACGCAGCTCTGCCACGGCTCACACTCCGGAGGGCCACCTCCTGCAGGTCCCTCCCCGAACGGCCTGGTAACTGGAGAACAACTCTGACCGCAGCGGGGCGGGCCAGTCTGGGTGTGGGGTTGCCACCATCCGGAGCACGTGGGTCCCTTTTTCGGGATGAACTGGGGGACAGCCGTGGGACAGGGGCCCGTGGGTGGGGGTCCGTCCTCTCGCCTGGTCTGCACAACCAACCAGGTAGCGGCCATGTGGTCACTTCACTCCGACCAGCAGCGACCGCGTGCCTCCGGGCCCTTTGCTCTGGGGAATCTGGCCTGGGGGGCCAGCGCTGGCAGCAGCGGAACCGTTCCTGCCCTTCCTGGCGCATGCCGGGCGCGGAGGCAGCCGGCCAGTGCCGGGACGCCGGCCACCGCCTCTGGTGCTGGGCTCCCGGGAGCAGCGCCGCGCACCGGACCGCGCCCCAGGGCGGGGCGGAGTGCTGGGGGGAAGACCTCCGGGAGCCCCTCCTCTTTGGGTCTCCGCGTCCCCACCCAGGAAGCGGCCCCACGAGGGGGAGGACGTGCACCCTTCCCAGGGGTCTGGTGAAGGGGTGGCTCAGCGCCCACGGGGCACACTCTTAACTGGTTGGATTTGGTTTCAATTTCCCTTAACCTTCGTTTCTTTTTCTTCTCCAGGGAACTCCTGGGGACGGGAGATGCTACGAATATGTAAATAAGCATATTTGCATTTCTTTCCCAAGCACTCTGAGTAATTTCTTAGACTTGCCCGGCCTGAGGATTTAGGGGTGAGGAGGAAATCATTCCTTTTAAGCAAATTTTAACTTTTGACTGTCATTTAAATTTACTTCTCCTGACCCAACACGGGTTTTAGAAGTCAATATCGCTATATAATTTTGTTAATAAGCCACGTGCATCCATACCAGTAATTAACATGCCCACTAAAGTGACTAAAAATAGTATTTATGGGGACTTCTCAGACCTCTTTCTGAACGGCCGGAACCCGCGGAGCAGCAGTGGGCGGAGCGGCAGTGGGGCGTCCGCGCGGCCCAGGGGTTGCTCTCCGGGGGACAGACAGGCGCAGCTGGGGTTTTGTCTCTGCCAACCCCACAACAGCGGGTTCTCAGGGAGAAACGGGGCAGCGCTGCCTCGGAAGGACACCCCCCTGTGGAACACCCCACCCACGTGGAAATCCCCTCCTCCGAGAGGCTGCGGCTTGCCAGCTCTGCCCAGCTCTCCCAGCCTTCGGTATGGGGGCTCCACGCACGTCGCTAAGCCGGCTTGACATTTGGAGGGTCAGACACGGACTCCATTAAACTTTTCATCCAAGGGCCTGATGCACTGTGCTTCACCCGCCCGGGCGGCCTCCTCCTCCCGGCCCCCTTAACAGGGCATAGCCCTTCGGTGCCAGAGTACGGCTGCAAACGGCCTGGGGCGTATCCACCTGCCTCCCTTTCACCAAAGTCTGCAGGTCCACACTGCCTGCCCGCCCCCCAGCTCCTGGCGTCCGTCTGAGGTGCCACACAGGCGGCAGGCAGGGGGTGTAGAAAATGGGAGGATGAGAATGGTAGCAATTGGGGTTCAGCCCCCACCCTCCTCCTTGCCTCTGGGGGGACCTTGCAGAGCTGCTTCTTTCTGAGGGTCAGGGTGTCCAACCGCAAACACACTCACACCTGATTCCCACTTGGCTCGCTTGGGGACACCCTTGGAGGGAACACTGCTTTGCAAACCGTAAGTCAGTGCAAATGGGACTGTTTTGAACACAAGTGCTGCTTCCTACAACGGGCCTGCCCACCTTCCGCTTCCTCAGACGGCCCCACCGCCTCCCTGCATCCCAGCCCCCAGCACCCTAGGTGTGGACACGCTCGGTCCTAGTGCGCGGGAGGCCAACCGGCAGCGGAGCCCACGCCCACATCCCCGCAGGAGAGTCTCCTTGTCCAGGGTCCTCCCGTTGCCGAGCGACCTCGGTGTCCGCTCCTTCCCTCCCTACAAAATCTTTGACCCATTTTCGCTGAAAGCGCTTTGCGATTTACAAGCGCTCTGCACCCAGAGAATGGACAGGCTGAGAAGGGACCCTCCCGTGACCGCGCTCGCCTCGTGAGGGTTCAGTCCTCCCACCTCCTACACTTGGGGCAGGGAGAGCAGCGAAATCTTCGCGGCAACACTGCGCTTGCCGGATCTGTGGCTGAGGGCGCCGCCCTCTGGGCGCTGAGGCGACGCACCTGGCACAGGTGGCTCACCTGGGGCGGGTAGCAGGTAGTCACTCAGGCGGCCTGCGGCGCTAACGTTGGTGCAGACTCCGCGGCCGTCCAGCAGCGCATGAAGCGGGCGCAGCTCGCCGGGCTGCGGATGGCAGCGGAGGCCGGACCCGCAGCGCTCAGTGTAGACGCCGCAGGGTTCGCCCTCGAGCAGCGCGCAGGTCAGGCAGCAGCCGCAGCCCGGCTCACGCACCAGCTCGGCGCACTCAGGCGCCGCAGGCGGGGGCGCGCACTGGGCCAGTGCGCGCGCGTCGCAAGGCTCGCAGCGCACCACTGGGCCCGAGCCCACCAAGGCCGCACTCGCCCGCGCCGCGGGCGCCACTCCGAGCAGCGCCAGAGCCGTCAGCGTGGCGGCCAAGACTGTGGGGCGCGTCAGCGGCATGATGCCCACTGCAGGGGTCCGCTGCTCAGCCAGCCGGGGCTCTGGGGGGGACCCGGTGATTGCGTGCGGCGCGAGGCTGCGGGAGCCGAGAAGGAGTCGGAGCGGGAAGCGGAGCAGGAGAGGCCAGTCCTAAACGCCCCACCGCGGGGTTCGCATCTGGGCGGCTCGAGCGCGCCGGCCGCTATATAGAAGCCGAAGTGGTCGAGGACACGCCCCGGAACGGCGCGCGGGGGTGGGGGGAGACCAGGCAGGCGGGCGCTGACCAGGCTCCGGGGTCCTGTATCTCGCCCCAGGCAGGCGGGCGGAGCTCGCAGCGCGCGGCCTCTCCAGCACCTGCCCCCACGTGCACGCCCGGGGCCCCGCCACCACGCGGTCTCCAGGACCCCGGCGGTCCCCATCACCCACTGACCCTGGTGCCTCCGGCCCCCTCAGCGTCCCCGCCCGTCTCCGGCCAACCTGGAGTCTCCGCCGCCCTTCTCTGTCTTTGTCCCCAGAGCAGGGTGCCCTCAGCGGACCTCTGTAGGGGACGCTGACCTGCGCCACTTCTCACCCGTGTACACTTGGCAAAGCTTTCCAAAATGCAAGTCCTGGGGCCGCGGGTTCGTGGGGCATTTTTGAACGGGGAGCCAAGGACTCGGAGTTTTCATAGCACCGGCGGGGCCACTCGCCCGCCCCCCAATCTGGCCCCACAAAAGCGCATCTGCAGGTGCGCAGGTGGCTCCGTCCGACCCAGGGTCGCTTCTCAAAGGGCGAAGACCCCCACTTGCTGTCCACGGCAAGTTTCTAGTGGGCAACCCGGGCCAGCGTGCAACGGACCCCGAGCGGGGGTTTGTCAACGGTTTGACCTGCTAGGTCTTCCCCTTGAAGACGCTTCACACAGAGAGCTTGGCTCCACGGCAAAAGAATAATAAAAACAATAAAGCGGGCGCTGCTGAAGGGCACTCAATAACCGATTGTTCTTAACACCAGTGCTTTGCACTCACATTTTCCCGACCACTCAGTGCCCCTGCACTGCGAGCTCTCTCGTGCATCGCCGTGGAGACTTTCGGGTTCCCTACTGCACACCGTCTGAACGCCGCGCCCGGGCGCAGGTCCCGGCGCGGTTCGCCCCTAAGGGGCGCGGATCCAAGTTTCCCTGCTCCGCGCGCGGGGCTTTTCAGTCTTGTCTGCGCGCCCCTGCTCCAGGGGACCGACAGAGGACGCTCGCGGTCCAGGATCGAATTGGGAATTACAGATCAGCCCCCAGACCCCGCAGGTAGATGGGGGAAGGGACTTCCCTGCAAGTAGTTGAAACTGGACCCTCGCTCTAGGAGGTGCACAGGTGTCTTGGGGGAGATTTTGCAGATTGCGGCAGAAACTGCAAATCAGGGTCCTCTTGCATTCCCCCTCCACCCCGCGAGTCCACTAGCAGTCGTGGGTGCAGCTGAGGGTCAGCTCATCACTGCCTCGCCTCTGTGTGTGCGCTCATGCTCCCCGCCGAGAACTGAAGACCGGTCCGTGTTCTCAGAGCAAATACACAAACAATGCGTAAAACTGTAGCAATAAGTGAGGCTCCACAAAGAATAAGGGAGCGGGGACGGGGAGAGAGGGGGCTGCGCCCCATGCACAGAGAACAGCTCAACCCTTCCCGGGAGCCCCGGCGCTGGGCCAGACGCCCCTGTTCACCCCGGACGTGCCCGGTAGTCCTGGCCGCCCGGCTCTGGCCTTACCCTCCGTGCAGCTGGGTGTTATCTGCGTTGACAGCCAAGAACAGGGTCTCCGATTTCATTGGGAAATTAAAGGAAACAAGAAATGCCCCAGGGTCACATTTATTCCTGAAATAACCGCGGAGACTTGACTCTGAAATCAGAGCCGGGATGTCTGGAAAGATTCCCGAGGTCCCAGGCCCGCTTCTGTTGAATGTGGGGTAGCACATGGGCCGGGCTTGTCACTGGTCAGTGTGGCCCCTTTTCCCGGAGTGGCCATCCGAGTAGTGAATAGTGGAATCGGGAAGAAGGTTATTCAAGTCCTCGCCTGGGTCCCGCTTCTCAGCCCCAAGCGGGGGCCTCCGGGTGAGCCACAAGGCGCGAGTTGCGCTCCAGTCTCTAGGCGGCGCCCATGAGCCAGGTCCAGCCAGACCGCGGAGACCCAGGAAAACGGCGGGTTACAAAGTAACGCTCAGGAGTATTCCATAGCTGTCACTGCCTTTCTTGGTGAAATCTTGCAACGGCGGAGTAGCTCTGGGGCAGTGATGTGGAGAGAATCGTGTTTCAATATTTAGTCACTTTTCTGGGACAAAACTTTTTTGGGCAGGGTGTCTTCCCTTGTGGAACACACCTGGTGTACCGCTGCTTAGTCATGTTCTCTGACACACTCGAGTAGGTGCCACTCACCACATGCGGGCGGTGGAGTCTCACGCACTCCACCCTGCTGAAGGGACATTGGAGGAGGCCGCCCCCTCTCCGCTGTGGGAAACACCGGCCTTTTTAAAATTTTCGTGACCAACTTCCCAAATCTTTCCCTTGCAAGAAGCCCTTTCGTCTTCAGAATACCCGCTGGGAAGCTGGTGTCTCATATGTAACAATGTGTTCAGTGCCAAGGGACTTTGGAAGTCCAATGTGCTGAGAAATATCATAACCCAGTAAGAAAATCTTAAGAACTATTTTTCTTAGCTTCTTCAGTAATGGAGTTTAGTCGTGATATTAAACAGCACAAATTGAAGTCTATTGTTATTTAATATTATTTAACCAAAAAAAGCCCTGTCCTCCCTATTAAGTGATGATCTGAATATGCATTCTCTTCAAAGAGCTTTTGTCTTTGGGGAAAATAACAGCCAAACCCAGCAACGCCCCAACTTTGTGATTATTTTGCTTCAGATCTGAATCCTGGGCCCCCCTGTGCCCCCACCAGAGCCTCCCTCCCTGGAGGGGCTGCTCCAACCTGGGAGCCCGATGGCCTCTCAGGAGCCACCCGGTGGGGCAGGAGTGTGGCTGCGTGCAAGTTGTGCAGGACGCCGTGTGGTGCCCCCAGACCCCCGGGTCCGCGTCGAGGGTCTGGGAGAAGCTGCAGGGTCTCAGTCACTTCCCTGGGCCGAGGAGGCTGCCCCGGGTTCTGCGATGTGAGGCCTCCCGCCCACCTCCTAGCAGGTGATGGAACTGCTTCCTTGCAGTGTGACAGGTGTCCCCTCACTGTGCCTCAGGGACCTGGGGGCTGGCAGCTTTGACAGCTCTTCCAGTCCAGACCCCAGGGCACCTGGATGCTTCCCTACCTTCGGAGTCAGCCAATTCGCACCTGCCTTATGCTCCTCCCAGCCATCTGCACTCCCCTTACCACCCCCGCCTCCCTCAGAAGATGAGGGGCTGCGTTCGTGGCGGGCATCAGTGGTACAGCCCCTCCCAGCCGCCCCGGAGGCAACAGCCCAGGAGTGGGCAGGTCCTGAAAACTAAGCCGGAGCACGTGTCTACTTTTCCTTATTCTAGGAGACTGTCTTGTTTTGGGTTGAGGAGCCCCAAGCCTCAGAGATCAGAACCTTATGTTCCTGAGGTCCAGGACCAAAGTCAGTCCCAGGAAGGCAGCCCGGGCACAGGAGGGGTCCCCTGGTGTCCGGAAAAGAGCCGTGACAGGGGCCACCAGAGCCTGGTCTGCAGCAGGACAGCAGCAGGGCCTGGCCCCCTGGGCAGCTGCTGCTACGCCCACTGAGTGGGAGGCACAGCTTCCCCTCGGCTTCTGGTTTTGTCCAGTTTGAGAGGCACTTGTGCTCTGGTACAGCCCTGACCGCCCTGCTGCCCCTGGGAAAGAGCCCGTTAGGGCGAGCGCCCACCTGCAGGGCCCACGCTGGGTGACTGTGAGAGGGGCTGAGGGTGACGGTGATTTCTGAGGTCCCCTCAAAGAGAACAGGTGTGTCCTCAAGAAAGGACAGGACACCGCAGTGGGCAAGCCCCCGAGGCCCCTCTACGGCACAGGCTGCCACACTTGCCCGTGGCTTTGAGTTGAGTGCAACTTCAAAGTCAGCTCGCCTGGCTGACCCCGCCCGGCCTCCAGGGGTTTTGGGTCCCTGGGCCCTGCAAGCTGAGCCCGCAGGCCTTTGCTGTGTTGTTGGGTGGTCTCCAGGGCACGGAGACCCCTCCCAGAACACACAGCTCCTCGAGGCTTCCAGCCATGCTGTGGGGCGGGGAGCGAGGCTCTGGAAAGGTGTCTCTTTCTGGTCATCTCCTGGATGGTGTGTTAAGGAGACTCGTTGGCCAAATAGTGGCCAGTATGGGGCAAATGTGGGTGCCAGGGGTGCCTTTGAGTGGACGCACGGCCTTCGAGGCCTGCCTTTGCAGGAGGTGACCCTGGGGCCTGTTTGAAATATCTGGTTGCAGAGCGGGTACCAGGCCTCCTGCTCTGGAGCCCAGACATGGTACTGCCTGGTCCCACCTGCAGCCAGTGCCCCAGCTGCACACGGGAGGACAAGGTCCCCTGGGAACTCTGAATGCACAGGAGACTCAGCTCAGCCGAGTCTGGGCTGGGCGGTTGTCTGTCGTGCTAGAAGTGGAAGCGGGCACATTCCCCTCAGGGGGCGCCTTGAGCTCGGAGCTCGGGGTGGTCGTCTGTGCTCCTCTGGGGAACAACCACTCACACACCCATTTCTTTGTAAGGAAGACTCAGGGGCAGAGGCGGAGCAGCCCCAGGGGCTGCCCTTGTCCCCCTGCACCCAGGACACTGCTGCTGCTGTCGTTCCATGCCTCAGGAGTCTGAGGGCCAGTTCGCAGGTGGCAGCCAGGGCTGAGGGCTGGGCCCAGGGCACTGAGGGCAGGAGACCTGTGCCCCAGCTCCAACAGCTGGTGGGGAGTAAGCACAGCCTCTTGGATTGTTCCGTGCTATTTGGGGCCTCGCTGCACTGGACAAGGTCTACCCCTTCTGGGGAGGGCTACGTGCCTCACTCATCCCAATAAGTCTAATGCTGTCTCTTTCAGAAACACCTTCCCAGACACCCTGGAGTAATGTGCCGTCAGCCATCTGGGAACCCCTTAGCCCAGGGTGTTGTAGACTGCTCTGCCTGATTTTAGGAATTGTATTCTCTACCCCTTGTGGCTGAGGGCAAGAGACCACCTTTGGAATGCCAGCCACAGGAGACAAAGCCTGTCTCTGGTAGCAAACGCTGCCTCAGTTCCTCTCCCTGCCCCCAGAGCTTGGTCGGAAGTCAATGA